GTGACCCATATCAAAAGAGGCCATCTTTTCATAGTAAAAAAAAAATACTGTTGAAGTTTATGAAAAGACCTTAATCCATGATTTTATTATAGTTTAGATATTAATCTTTCATAAAATAATAGTATTAACTCCTTTCATAATGAGTACGTAAAAGTAAATACAAGTAAAAGTCATGTGTCAGAAAAATGTGTATTATAATTTTACAAAACATCAAATTAAATAACACTTAATAAAGCGCAAAACTTTTGCTAAGTCTGTCAAAAGAATATTAGAATAATATACTTCAATCTTAGTTTCTTTCACAAAACCAAAGGTTATTAAATGTTTATAAACATTGAAAATCGTAGTTATTTTTTATTGTCAATAACTCTTGCGCAGTGATGCCAACATCGGGTCCATATCACAGAATTGGGAATAATAATGCTTTCATAATAGCAATAAGTAAAATTTTAGTCGTCAAACTTAAGTTTTTTTTACTGAGGTTAAACCAAAGAGGATATTATCACTACGTCGTCAAACTCTATTACCAATTCGATGGTTTTCATTGCAAACATCGATGTTTTCGATGCATCGATGTATATATCGAATATCCCTAGCATCAGGTAAATTAGTTAAAAATACATTTTGGTGAAGAAACCTACACTTTTTAATCTTTCTTGAAAACCTTATCGTAAGTGATGTAATGAGGAATTAATTTTATAGTCGATTGCTTGACTTGTTTTCGCAATGGGTGTTTTAATTTTTACGACACATACCGGTACTATCGCCGATTTAGTAGTGTTTCTTATCCATATTTAAGCTAATTGAAATATGTATTAGCTGTTAACTAAAATTAAAACGTTAAGATTGTACTTTATTAGAAAAAAGTAGTAATTTTCATTTAAGATTATCGTGCGCGGTCGTTTTGCATAGAAACCCACCTTTGGTGTACATACTTAATACTTAGTTGTTATTTTATACGAGTGAGATTGCTTTCCGCGTACTTAAGTAGTGTTTTTCTAATTTAAGAAATAGTTAAATAAAACGATTTTTACGGGTTATATGCACTGAATTTATTTATCTGACGTTTCGCAGCCTTTTCAGGACTGCGTCTTCAGAAATAATGATTTTTTATTTACTTTGTCGAGCTACCTTCGAAAGACTTTTATTGAGCGTTCGGATATTTCATAAGATTTTTAAAACTTTATTGTCTTTGCTTGAATTTATTAGATAATTTAATTAATAAAGTAATTTATTTAATTCTTTTTTATAATTTTGAGTTTATTTTTTTTGACCCTAACTACCGTAAACTACCACCGGTTCCAAAATTAGAAGACCTTTCCAAGAAGAAACGTAAAAATCGTTTTATTTAATGAGTAATGCGCGTGAAAACCTAAGAAACAAATATTAAGAAATAGTTCTAATTCGTGACGGACACGTGCACTGTTGCATACAGTTTTTGAAGTCAATCCTGGATCGTGCCTTAACACGCTGGAAAATTCATACGTTTGTTGTATGTATAGAATACAGTAACACGGAAGGGAGTAGCCATAGCGAAAATAAGTTGAGTGGGCCTTACCTTATAGAAGAGTTTGGTGATCTTCCATAAGGTTAGGTTACTTCCCTAGACGGGCGGTATAATTCGGAAAATTTCCTTTTTCTATCTCTCTTTAATATATGATACGAAAGGTGTTGGAACACTTTAAAATTGTCCATTCCACATTCAGGCACATTAGTAAATTGTCTATGCTCTTGTTGATTACGAACGGATGTTGTCGGCAAACAACAAACAAACCGCAGGAAATGGCGGGATTCCACTATCTACGAGTACTTTATTTTCGAATTAAGTAATTTGTGGTGGAAATTGCGATTCATGGTTGCAAGATTGTGGACTAGAAAAGTCAATGTTGGCTGTATTCATTATCTTAATGACGTGCTTATGTGTGGTTAATACTTTTGTCTACACCCATGCTTTAAAACCTCTATAAAAGATTCTTAAACAGTTAGTTCATTGCAACATTAAAACATCCAATGACATAATTAAGAAAAGATCGATGTAACTAAGTTATAATGTTGTACTAAAATTAATAATAACCTTCGCTTTTAAAATCCCTTCCGCGCCAAGGGCTTACTCATCAGACAGCCACAATTTTCACTGTTCGATGCGTGGTGTTATGAATTTCAAAAAAAGAACATTGTCATTCACGCGCGTTTCACACAGTGTCGATTTTTTGTAATATGAATGACCGTAACTGCCAAAAGCGAAATTTTACACAAAGTAATTTGAAGATTAGAAAAATGTTATTAATTTATATATACTTATTTATTTAAATTATATTTATAGCAATTATCGTATATTTATATGATCTTTTAGATAAATGAGATCTTTAAAAGCCAGCGATTATAGTTTAGAAAATAGCATGGTGCTTACGATTTTTTTTCCTCAAAAAAGTGTCATTACATTATGAATTGCTAAAAAACACTGTAAAAACCTAAGAAAAATTAAAATAAGACACACCGTTTTTGAAATTTGGACTTACGTTCCAAAAAAGTTATTTATAGAACTTTCAATCATATTTACTTGTAATAAAATCCAAAAAATAATAAGTTCTTCCAGTTTTAGTTAATTTGTAGAAGGGTAGTAAGTTATGTGTAAACGAGTTTATAAGTTGGAAAAAACCAGTTAATATTAATAAATTAATAGTAAATAAAAAATAACTTTGTCTAAGTATATTATGCTTTTAGATTAGTTTTTTCAAATGAAAATCTGCAATCTGAGTTATTTTGCTTTATTTTCTCAAAACTCTCTAAGATTTTAACGTAATCAAAATTGCAGCAATCGATAGAACATCTAATTTGCAGACGAACTGTACCCCTAGCACGAACCAATATCGAGTTCGTATCGTTTGCGAGTCCGAAATGTCATTGTCAAATGTGTACTGATTTTTAGTTCTCGTTACGGACTTCGTGGCGCTACTGTTCAAGTTTCCATACAAAATTTGACATTGACATTTCGGTTTGCAAACTATTCGAATTCGTTAATGGTTCGTGCTAGGGGTACTGTATACATAACTCAATCTCGTAAATTTGGCGGTTACATTAATTAATTCATATTACACGGGTGGTTATGTTCTGAGCCCTGTGGTTTGAGAATCCTTTATAGAGGATTCATTCGTCGAACGTATGTAAAAAAGGGTGAAAGTTTGAAAAGTCTTTGAAAACAATCTTAAATTAATAAATGTTGTCTTCTTGATAAAATTAAATGCAAGAGCGTCGTCGCCAAGACTTAGTCCACTGTTTTGAGTTGCTTGCGCTCGTTTTTCTCCACCTTAAATATGTCCTTAACCGGTCACAAGAGAAAAATAGAAATAAATAAATATTTCCAACACTCCTAGCCCCAAAGTAAGCACTGCAAAGGCTTGTGTTATGGGATACTAGGGTAACGGATAGAATACATATATTGTACATATATATGAATAACATATTAAATATCCATGACTGGAGTACAAATGCTCGTATTCATCACACAAACATCTGCCCCCATCGGGATTCGAACCCGGGACCTCTCGAGTCGGCGACGCCATGAAACCCGGCTTATAAACCACGGTCTCGGAGCTCGTCTGGATATGGACGGTTCAAAAGAGTTGTATTATGCTTCCAATTTGAATAAAGATTTTTTTAAGTTATACTTCTTTAGGCGCCTTATGAAAAAATGATGAGAGTGAAATTTTAAGATGCGCGCTCATCACTGTAACACAAAAGTAACACCATGAAGTTGACCGCTAAACCGCACATTAAGTATCGAAAAAAAGCTAGCAACAAAATAGAAATAGAATCTCTATAAATCGGGCACGCTCGTCGTCCTTAATCACTGTTTTCATATTTATAATATTTATCCATATGTTTCTAATTTCTATATTCACAAAACGTGTTTTAGTTTCATACAAGTGCGAATTATATTTCGACGACCTCCGTTAGTACGCCGGGTTTCATGGCGTCGCCAACTCGAGAGGTCCCTCCCGGGTTCGAATCCCGGTGGGGCCAGATGTTTGTGTGATGAACACACTAGCATTTGTACTTCAGTCATGGGTTTTTAATATGTATTTCTATATAAATATACTTCTATATGTAAAGTATATGTATTCTATCCGTTACCCTAGTATCCCATAACACAAGCCTTTACAGTGCTTACTTTGGGGCTAGGCTAATTGGTGTGAGTGTTGGAAATATTTATTTATTTATATACTTATGTGTTAAAAATATATTCCGTTGTAGTTTTTTTGATTATTTAATTATTTTTTCAAATTGAAACTGAACTGTGTTGACTATCCTTTTCCAGTCCTTTTAATATTTTATTGTAATTAATTGTTTGCATGCAATTAAAAACTATTTTTTAATGATGCCAAAGATATAACTTCTCACGCGCGTACATAAGTGTACGTACACGTATTTTTTTATCGTAGCCTGCGACTGTGACTGCCAGACACAACAATTAGGTACTAAACTCTTTAAAATGATACTTATTATGTCGGTAGACTAATGGTAACCCAATACTCAACTAACAGTAGATCGTTTTGATGATAATGAGTAGTGAGCCATTGTATTGACAATTTCTAACGCCAGCACAACACAATGCTTGATGTCTTTTTGTGTCAACCATGTAGCGATTGAAACAGATATTGTTATGACACGTGCATAAAGATGACTCTACATTACAGTTGACTTGACAATTGACCTCTTTGTAACTTGGTAATAATGTTATAAATGCAAACGTAAGAGTCATCATCATCATCATCAGCCTATTAACGTCTCCACTGCTGGGGCACAGGCCGTCCCTATGGATGGAATCGGGAGTTTGGGCCATGATCCACCACGCGGGCCCATAGCGGATTGGCGGGTGCTAACGACTGCAGATGCAGCCGGGACGAACGGCTTAACGTGCCTTGCGAAGCACGGAGGAACTCGAGATAGAAGATTTTTGGTCACCCATCCAAAGACCGACCACTGCGAAAGTTGCTTGTCAACGATCGCAGCCGAACGCGCTACCCACCTGCGCCATCGAGCTCCTCAACGTAAGAGTATGCCAGGTTATTCATAGCCTTCACGTCACCCTTAACTTGTACGTAGTTATGGCCTGCGCCGGCCTGCGACGAGGAACTTGTCAGCGGAGGAACTCGTCACGGACTCGAACGCTGTGCGAATATATGTCGCTCCAAAATTTTGAGAAGCACACGCTATGGAAGAAAAGTTGAGGATGTGATCACTTTGGGAGCTCTCAGCAAAATAAAAGTGCGCCCATCGTGAGGACGCGATGGTCTCGCTCTCAATCTAGACTCCATCGCAAAGTATAAGAAGTATGCCTCGAGACGTTTCTTCGTTAAAGCCGGGCATCATCCGAACCCCTTAGTAGTCAAAGCCTCTAGCTATCACACGTCCGCTCTCCCGTCCTCCAATCGTAGTTCCCTCTGATTCCGTCGGCCTAGGCACGTCTTAAATTGTCGAGGTGACAACGAAATCACCCGCGCCAACGCGCCTCTGACTCCCCCCACACAGGCCACAAACGCCAACACACACAGCATACTTCCACACTAGCTTAGCATTAGGCAGACACCGCACCCGTAGGATAAGAGTGCGAAGACCCGGTCTACGCACGACATGCTATAAAGGTACGTACCGGCCCCCACGACAACGGCCAACTAGAGCCGAGGTCCGAATCTCAAAGACGCCCTGTAGTTGAGCCGACCCCCACAGGTTCGAGTGGTCTAGAGGCTTCAGGCGGAGAGGAGACTCCGTGGGGAAATGCCATCCGCCTGGAATACCTCTAGAGGCACTCGCCAATTCTCGGCTGGAGGTCCCGTTAGGATCTCGCCGTCCCCAAACTAGGTGACGCTGTAATGGTCATCTGCGACCAACAGCATACAGCTTCAAAAACAAAAAAAAGGACGCGACGAATAGCTCCGCCACAACCCTATGATCTTTTGATAAAAACCGACACCCTATGGATCTTGCGCTAACTTGTGGGCCATCATTCCAATACATACTAAGGTAAACCAACCCCTGCTACACGATGGCCATAGGTAATGGCCCTAACCATTCGCTATAGTGTTGGCCAACTTGTAGAGTAGGCATAATGGGTGGCTAACACCCGCCTGGTTTGTTACCACCGTGCGCATGGTGAAAAACCCGTTAAGTGCTTCTCGCGCGTTTCGGGATCAGCCAGCGTACAACCAGGGCTCGAGTGGAGGTTGTCGCGACGGATTCGGTCCAGGGCGAGGCATTCGTCGAACCGATGCCGGGATGACTGCATCGACCAGGGAGACCCGTAGAAACGGCTGTCCCGCTGGCCGCCCGTGGCACAGTACAGGGGCCCGAGCGTAAAAAAAAACATAATGATTGAGAAAAGTAGAAAACGATTTAAATGAGAATACTGGGTCCAAAATGTCGTTGGGTCCATCCCTTTAAATTGGACCGTGCGTGCAACGCGGAGTCGCGAGCTAAGGTTCGTTGTATGCGCTGCGCCTAGTCACATGATCACACCTATTGACATTTTTGCATGAATTAAAACTAGTATTAGCTGAATCTAGATTTTGCAAAGCTACAAGTAGATCTAAATAATCTGTACTACGGAGTCTGAAGGAAAAAGAGGACCCAGAATTATCAAATATTACCTATTTATGTATAATTTTAAATTAAGTTATTTAGAAGTGTTTTAAAAAAGATTTCTGTTGACTTTGTTGACTTGAGTGTAGTTTGAAGACTATGAAGCTACAAATAGTTGACATCCACTGACGGCAGCTTTATTCCCTAAATACCTTGAAATAACAGCAAATAACAATATATTTGTAGTACAGGTGTCCTCGCTGATATTACCTCATATACGATTTACATTTTTTGTTTTTAAACACCTGTGTTAATAAGCACGTGAGTTAGAATAGAAATACCTAATCAAAAATGTATAAAATATTTGCCCGTGGTAACAAGAAACAGTATAAAGACAAAGCGTGTAAGTCGGTGCGATTCGATCATATTATAAAATGCTAAATTTCAAATTCCATAGCGTACAACGCCATCTATTGTCGTCATCAAATGCTCTTTGAAATATCACTATTACTTATTACGGCATTAAAATAAACTATATCTACATAACTGAATCAACTCTAGGGTTACCAACTTTTTCTATCAAATATAGTATTTTTAAAGCTGTTACTCTTAAAATATAAAATATTTACTTTATTTTTAAAATGGGTATATTTTTGCTGCTGTATACCTTAATAATTCAATTTTATATTTTTAAGGAAGCTCTTATTGGCAAAAGTTTGCTTTTAAGCAAAATATAGTAGTTTTGTCTACTATATATTTTTTTTAGAAATATAGTATTTATCCCCTAATATAGTAGATACTATATATAATAACAATAGGGTTAGCAATCCTGATCAAGTCTAGTGTTTGGACTACCGTACTAGCTACACAATTATTTTTTATGAACTAGATTACATTATCAGCCACATGAATGGAGAGATAACAAAATTATCTTAAAAATTTATATTATAGGTAATAATCTATAAGTAGGTATCGATATTTGTGCATATTATAAGAAAAAAATGGAAACCGACTCATAATCATGTATAGAACGCCGATTATCCGAATCAATTGGGACCGGGGTCGATTCGGATAATCGAAAATATGGATAATCGGACACAGACTGGTAATAAAGAAAAACTAACTGTCACATAGCATAAACTTCATTTAGTTTTACAAACACAGTTCTACAATAATAGAGGTACATAGTAGAAAAACAAAAATAAAAGTAAGAACAGAAAAACATGTAGTGTCTGACTATTGTAGTGTCTTGCCTCTAGCTTTCAACCATAACCAGACCCCTCTTTCTCAGTGGGCACTTTGGGCAAGTGCCACGCGATCGAGATCGAGATAAGGGGCCTCAGATCAAGTCCCTAGTTCCTGTCAGATCACCAAACGATAACCAATATTTATTACTAAAAACTTATATAATTCAAAGAAAACGAAGCTAAATTACTGACTACAATACTAACTTACTAGCTTTTACATGAGCGAAGCTATTCTACTTTCGCCCAAAAATTAAGCTTTCCGACTTCAGCATGCTTAGATAAATTTAATTATATAATGGTGTCGATTCTCGCAAGATCATCTAAACTTAAAACTATATTTAACATCAGTCTCTTCTTTTCATTCTCCATAGAGAATGACAGGGATACACTGTTGTCAAATTTAAGTTTAGCTTTAGAGAATTATGCCAGAATCGACACCAATGGCATACTAAGCACATAAACATTTTAAAGAAAAAAAATATCAGTAGTACACTCATCAGTGTGATTCGCTCCATTTCAAGTCATTATCCATATCAAAGTCATATCTTAATATGCCCAGGCCCTCTAATAGGTTAAAGACGGCCCTGACCATAACAGTTGAAATATATCTGGACTCCAGCGAGTTCCAACTTGTTAGAACAAAACAAAACAAAAATGATTTTTTTATATTACACTTCGGACCGATTCGGTTAATCGGCGTTCGGATAATCAGTGTTTTACTGTATTAATGATAGCGGATATACACATGTAGATTTATAATCAGATTATTTTTTATCGTTTCAGATCCATAGAGGATCATCTACTACGGTATAGGAAGCACTCACAAAGTGAAACTAGTCAAGACAGCGCCATCTATTGTACGTTAAATAGAACAATTCAAAATCTCCGTGAGATGAACAACTTCGAGTACTTATAAATGACGCTGAGACAACGCCATCTGTGCATCCGTAAACCAACTAAGTTGTCGAAACCGTAGCGCCATCTGTTGAATGCGGGGCGCGTCAAGTGCTCGAGGAAGATGAATTCAGCGCCACCTGTCGTGTGAACGATGCCACGATTAAAATATGCTTCGGTGTTGCGAGTATTTGTGATCATCGGACTCTTCTGCCTGTGGGTGCAGATTATGCTGTCGGCTTCTAGCGGCGGGATATACAGGGATGGAGGTGGGTGCTCCTATATTTCTAGGTTATAAAGTCTTGTTTAGATCAGCAGAAAGGACGGTGAATATAAGATCTACGAACTTCACTTTCTTCCCCTTGTACCAGTTTTTACGTATGTATGGAATGAATGTGGTGCAAGGAGAATTATTGCCATTCAATGCATGAGTTAGGTCTTGAGGAATAATGTGCATGAACTGAACACCGAGTAGATAATAACAATTGGAATAACTTTATGCATGGCAACATTCAACTAACTAAATTAAAACGTTTGCTGGTGTTTAAGTCTCGGTTAGGCGATGGGGTCAGCAGAGTAGTGATACTCTGGTATCGCTTAATACTTCTTTTTACATTAAACAATGGAAAATTATTAGCAACTTATGATAATTTTCGGTCTACATCTTGCGCTCAAACAAATGTAGTGTTTTTTAGTTGTGGAAATAAGGTCTGTACTAAAGTTCTGGCACTTATGCTCTTGCCATTCACCATGGCTCAGCCATAGCGTTAAGTACCTTCGTGAAAACAACTTGATTGCTTTCCTTTACTTTTAAATAAATAAGAAGAACCAAAACAGTTGATAGAAATTCGCTTACCGTCTGTTTTGTGACGGTCCCGCTGTTGAATGTGTCTGCTAGTTTCATATTCTTGTTATTATTGAGTGTAATTTGCATAATTGAGTACGCAAATGAATTCATGCCATTAAAACTCACTCGGACGTAGCGTTGGCGATGAATTGAATGCATCATTACTACTACTATGCTAAACAGATATACGACGCGATAATGGAATGATGCAAAAGTCGAGGAGAACCAACGCTCGTATATCCTGTTAAAATTGCATTGCATTCTATAAGCTCGAATCGTCGACGACCAGAACCTTTCCAATCTTTGATCTGTCGACGATCAGAACCTTTCCAATCTCAGCTTGATCCTTTCGCTTTGCGTAGGGATATAGCTTCGCTGTGCATCCTCTACCGTATTTATCACGGGTATCTTTCTAAGAAATTGATCGGATTAATTCCAGCTGCTGCTTTTGTACATCGTGACAAAAATTTCATTCCCATCATCTTGATGCATTGTCATTGATGCACCACAACCGTGCGATTTTATCGATTTTTTTTACCACGTACGACAAATGTATGGAGTATATCGTCGCCAGCAGTGTTTCCTGGACAATATGACCCGAAAACCCAAAAAAGAGCGTACTCCTTCCTTAAACGCCGGTATCGCATTGTGATATCAAGAATATTACGGGCGTTCCAGATGTCATAGGGCGACGGTGATCACTTACCATCAGGGCATCAGGTAAGCCGTCTGCTTGTATGCCCTCTATAATATATCTTTACATATACAGGTGACGTCAGAAGCCACAAAAATCTACGGCGTCTATGAAAAGAGACGTGAATTCTGAGAAATTAGAAAATTGATTTTGAATGTCATCTATTTGCCCCTCCACGAATTCTGTTTGACAAAAAAAGCCTATGTCCTACTCCAAGGCTCGCCACCTTACCCAGCTGTGAAATGCAAAACGCATTTTTTCGGAGATTTTAACAAAATAAAAAGAAAGAAATAATAGAACACATACAGGCTGCACGCAAGAACTCGTATTTATGATATTGATCAAAGATGATGTTTACTTTTTTTAGTTAACTACAGAATAAGAAAGCCCGTCACATTGTCAAGCATTCAATTTGATTCACGTCTCTGAGTGCAGGCCATAGAGGTATAAGAATAGAGTGGGGAAGGCGGCTCTAAAAGTGTCCGTCTAGTAGAAAGAGAAAGAAGATGGGAGCCGGCTAGCCTTCTCTCTCTAATTGCGAATGCGCATTGGTTGAAAAACCTACCGACCAATCACACGACTGCGCAGCGTCACAAGAGAGAGAGATAGTTAGTCGTGCCTCATCTTCTTTCTCTTTCTACTAGACGGACACTTCCACTAGTAGTAGAGTACATATCTCCCCTACTCTATTCTTATACCTATTTGGTGCAGGCAGCGTATAAGAGGTTCAAAACAGTAGTTTAATATGACAGGGAGATATAGCTTGCCGCTATACGATCTTAGTAATCCCATTCAATATTTCTGTTTCCAGATTTGTCTCCCGACTATGATATTAAAATCGGTAACTATGACTTTTGAATCAAATCTGTTGTTCAGATGTGTATGTCGTGTTGAAGTCTGGATAAAGGCATTCGTGGGGCCAATTTGGAAAGATTGTCATTGGTTTTGGAAGGCTTCAAAACTTCTTTGCCTCGGTTAAATTTTCTTGCGTCTTATCATCGTGAATTTTTCGCATCTGGAGTAATGTCATTAGCTGCTTTTTCATTGGCTGGTTGATGAAACGCGCGTGGGGGCAGAGAATTAGGTCTGACTTCTCTTGTATGCCCTGTTTTTATAAGCACCTAACTGAAATGGTTTGAAACCATGTGCCTGTTTTAATGTGCATATAATTCGATACCCTTGTTCCCAACATTTTTTATTTCTAATTACCACGGCATAATAATATATTTTGCAATCGCCGGAATATGTTTTCCCCGTCCTTCATTTTGCTATCATCCGTTGTCTCAGCATTTAATCTGTTTTCTGTTATTTGTCATATCATCTGTATGTCTTATCATGTGGAAACAACTTGCTTCCACATTCATTAATCAGCATATTTTTAACGTCCCTTTCATATTTACTATTTTTTTGATTTTGATTTTTATTACTTATCTTTTCAGAGGTGCAAGAAGACAATCGAAGAAAGATTGGAGTTAACAGTTCCGATATTAATGAACCATCCCAAGGTTTTATTTTGCTAATATTTTTGTTGAGTGTGATTTTTATTTATATTTTGTTTTTCCCGGGCCGGGTTTCAAGCTGGGTGACCTTTTATTTATATAAAATATTGTTGTTGTTTTTTATTTTTTTATCATCTTGTATTGTGTTAATCTTGATCGACGTGGTTGGTTATTGCGCGATGGATTATAAAAAAAAATCTACATCACTATTATATATTTATTCTATATTATACTATTTAATTACTTCATGTTTACATTTCTTTGTTCAGTTTTTATTTTTGTGTTTAAAATTTTACTTATTTATAAAGAATTTCATTGATATGATTTGAGCTTCAAACATATTTGCTAAATAAACAGGAGCGCTTTGATTAATGTACACGTTTAGATACCGTATTAACTGCAAGGAAGCGCCTCAAAAAATATCTACTACATAATATGGTAGATAAGCTCGTCGCTGCATACGCACACATTGACTGCTTTCAAACAATCTAACATTACGGTCACGCACACATTGCGCGTAAATTGAATCGTTTTCTTTGCGTGGTTTATTTGGATTGCTCTATTTAAGCGTGTATAGGAATCAAAGCAGAAGTGTAACTTCTTATAGTAGAAGAACTAGTGAACCATCCGAGTAACGGTATGTCTGTAAGGCTAGGCGTCGAAATCTCACCATCTCTTCGCATTGTAGGTAACAACAACGACCACGACCACAATGTCGAATGAATACTTTTTCAAGTATTAAACATTTGAAAGAAGAAATAGCAATTATAGTTATGTTTTTATTTATTTTTAAGCATTTAACTGCTAGATGTTTAAATCTAAAGAAAAGTTTACTAGAAAAAGGCTAGGAAAATTTCGACGCGGCGAATAGGACCGTGGTAGCATAATGGTCAGTGCATTCGCCCGGATTGCGAAGGGTGAGCGTTCGAGTCCCGTCTGCTGCCTGGTCCGCGTGGATTTTTGTTTTCTAGTAAACTTTTCTTTAGATTTAAAGTAATATTGTTTCTGGTGTGTGTGGTGATGGGTACCGATGTCGTATTTTGTTTCAAATGTTCCAGCTATTTAATCAGAGCAGTATTTATTACTCAGCCTCTTAATGTCCCCACTGCTGGGGTACAGGCCTTCCCTATGGATGGAAAAGGGAGATTGGGCCATGAGCCACCACGCGGGCCCACTGCAGATGCAACCGGGAGCAATGACTTATCGTGCCTTCCGAAGTACAGAGGAACTCGAGATAGAAATTTTCGGTCACCCATCCAATGACCGACCACTGCGAAAGTTGCTTAACTACAACGATCGCAACCGAACCCGCTAACCACCTGCGCCATCGAGCTTTATTACGTACTGCTACTGGATGTGTGCTCTCAGTAATATTATATAATAATCACATAATAATCATGTTTTTGTTATAAAACGGCTATCTATTGGCATTATTATGTATTCTTTGGTTAAACTTAAAGTTAAGATAAGTTATTTATGGGATTGTTACCATGTACCTTGTTTTTAACGAGTTTCCGATATCCACTCCGTGATCATGGCGCTTGCAAGACTATTGGGGCTGTCCATTAATCACGTGAGGCTCGAAGGGGGGGGGGGGGGGAAGAGGGTTCGTAAAAATCAAGAAATATCACAACGGGTGAGGGACGTGATATATCACTACATGATATATCACGTGTATTTTCGTGGTCCGAAGATACTGTACATTAAATAATGTTCATGTATTAGTACAAGAAAGTTTTCCGCATTTCTTTCATTATTTTTATGTCAGTCAAAAACAACCTGCAACCTTTCTGTCTACCTCTAAGCATTATTAATGTAGTCTTTAATTTTCTACCTGTATTTATAAATATTAAAAAGGGTTGTTTGTAGGTACTAAGAAATACACGTGATATAGGGGCCGAGGGGAGGGTTTAATCTTAAACCTTAACATGTATCACCAAGGGGGAGGAGGGGGTTAAAAAATGCAAAAAATAACATCACGTGATTAATGGTCGGCCCCATAATGTTAGTGACCATGAAAGTTAAAAAAAATAAACTTAAGGGTACCAAAGTCTTACAATAATATTTCGTTACGAAACTCTATTAGTGGCGGTTTTCGCCGCATGCATTGTATTTTGTTAAAATATATCCTAGTTAACCTCTCCAGTGGAGGGAGCTACGCCTTAGATTACTCTTCCACGATTTGTGTCTGGAGTTGCCAGATTGAGAAGTCGAAATATCTGGAATCTGGATAGTATTTTGAAATGTCGGGATTTCGGGATTTTTGTCAGGGGGATTATACCTTAGATTAAATCCAAAACGGAAGAAACTGTACGCTCATACTAGCATCAAATAAAATATGCTCCGATTCAATTAAATAAGCAACTCTTACACATGCATACTTCTATATATATAAAACTCAAAGGTGACTGACTGACTTAGTGATCTATCAACGTACAGCCCAAACCACTGGACGGATCGGGCTGAAATTTGGCATGCAGGTAGATGTTATGACGTAGGCATCCGCCAAGAAAGAATTTTGATCAATTCTACCCCCAAGGGGATAAAATAGGGAATGAAAGTTTGTATGAAACTTTGTCAATTTTAAACTGATCGGGCTGAGACTTTGCATGCAGGTATAAGAAGAATCATAGATGAATGTCATTGTGTATAATATAAGCCTGAGAACAAAAACTGTTACTACACTTCAGCTCTACACTGAAGCGAAGCGACGGCGAGCCGCTAGTCTTTAAATAAACATTCAATCGAGCGAGCAGGCCTTGTACGTTTCAATGCAGCGCGAGCGAAACGGCGAGTCCGCCTCGCTGCCGTCGACTGAGTTTTCTTTTTTCTCCCTACAAACTACTGGGTTGTATTGTTGTCTTTTTCTTGATAACAAATGGCGAATATGTAAATAACATTCATGACAAACCGTGATTTTTGAGAAAAAAGTTTTTATAGTTTTACGAATGAAGTTTTTATTTATGGCCTTTTTAAAAGCACCGAAAAATTGTTTTATCTTTATAAGCAGAATATCCGCAATATTGTTATATTGAGTGCACATGCAGCGTGTTTGGATGATAAATTGCGACTAAAGCGGATTGTGTTCACGCACCTAATTTAAGCGATACACTTTTGAGCTGCGAGTGCCGTATCTTCCCTTTTTGTTTTAATCTAAGGATTACACCCATTATCCGCGTTTTCGCAAAATACCTAGGAACATCCAACGGCATATAGGTACATTTCAAGAATCGTATAGAATTGCTGTAAAGAATAACTCTCTTTTTTAATTTCAGAGGAGCTGATGAATGCCAACGAGACATCTGAACAAGTGTTAGCGTTGGTCCCACCAGAACTTCACAAGTATCTAACTGTGCATCACAAAAATGTATCAGGTAAGCCAGTAAGCACATGTTTTATGTTGAAAGGGTGGCCAACAAGCTAATGGCCCGTCTCACGGTTAGCGGCCACCATAGCCGAAACCAAATGCTGACTTATCAATTCCGGAACATTTGCCCCCCCCCCCCCCCCCCGAACAAATAAATTTATCGCTTGGGATCTCGAACTTCTCTTAGGGATACATTTAAAGAAATAGGTATAATGACTGTTGCATCACAATACGTTTACAATTGTAGATTGTTTGTACGTCAGAACATAAATTTATATTTATATACCAGGCGCGATGATGTACATTGTTTCAATAACAGAAATAAAGGTAACTCAAATTGCCACCGTTGAGACTCCAAAAGGTTCTTGGTTCATTTGTGAGTCAAGGTACTCGTATATGTTACTATAATAAAATACCAAAAGCAATAATTAATTTACCTTTTAATAAGTTTAAAGTTTGTGTAAAAGATTGTCTCCTTAAGAAAGGTTACTATACTGTTAAAGATTTTATAAATGATAAGGCACCTTGGGCTTAATATAATAGACTAAGTCGTTTTACTTTGCTAATTTGGTTGAAGATTGTTAAATCGCCACTTCTAAATTTAAAATTAGTATACCTAGCTATACTTAAGTTATTGCCAATTAATAATATTAATGTGATGAAAGTTTACACCAACACATGTTTTAATTTTTGATGTCATCTTTCAATTGACGACACTGTATGAAACAAAACAGGGAGAAAAAAATAGCCCTTGCTGAGTTTCTTGCCGGTTCTTCTCAGTATAAGGTCTCCCGCCGTAGACTTACGAACCGATGGCGTAGAGTTTGACTTTCACAAGAGCTTGTAACAGCCTAGACTGAATAAATGAGTTTGGATTTGAAAGCATCAAAGGAGTCCTTTCAGAGAGGCGCGAAGAAGCGTTTTTGCAGGCCGGCAAGGTGATGATGGTTGGTGTAGGAGTTTATAATTGCTGAACCAGCTATCTTCGCGTTTAGATTTTATCACCACTTAATATCAGGTGGTGTAGAGGCATTTGCCTACCTGGCTATATATAAAAAAAAATGAAACCCCCCCCATCACCCCCCAGAATTTTAAAACATAAAGCAGGCCAGCGATGTCATTCGTTATTAGTTTATTTTGTTAGGAAACGAGCACATTATCAGAATCCGGGACAATGTGATTTAGTTACTGGACACGGGACAACAAAATTCCGAGACAATCCCGGTTATCTGGCAAGCCTACTTGCACCGTTGAAGTCAATTTATACACTTTTAAATATTTGATTATTTCACGATAGTTGTATGAGAATAATGAATAATTTTTCTTTAACCGTAACTGTTAGCACATTTTTGAAGTTATACTTCTTTAGGCGCGTTATGAAAAAATGATGAGAGTGAAATTTTAAGATGCGCGCGCATCACTGTAACACAAAAAATTAACAGCATGAATTTATTTTTACTCTTTTACTTTACTTTTGTGTTTACCGCACATTAAGAAAATCTACCAACAAAATAGAAATAGAATCTCTATTTTGTGGGTGCTAACGACTGCATTGTGAAGGCCTATCAAAAGTATTTTTTAATCTGGAACAACGGAACCAAAGCGCGATTCAGGAGACTACAGCGCCATCTCTTGACCATTGGTGTAGTAGAACCAAAAACACATCTTTATTTTTTGTAATAAAGTAACAGTTATAGGTATTCATATTTATAATATTTATCCACATGTTTCTAGTTTGTATATTCGGAATACGTGTTTGAGTTTCATACAAGTGCAAATCACATATGTTCTAATACAGTGGTTCTCAAACTTTTTAAATGACGGAACCCTTTTGGGAAGCAAAATACTTGATGGAACCCTACAATAAAACAATTATTTTTATAAGTGTATTCTATATTAATCAGCATAATAAAAGTACAATGTATCCGTTACTAATTATTATTTACTTCACCACTTGGTAAGGACAATAATAGAAAACATTAAAAAAGAAAAAATCTAACTAGTGGGAGGTATGAAACTGTTTTTTATTTTTCATCAATTGCTTGATATCAGGTTTGATGGAAGAAAGTTGGAGTCTCATATCAGCTTCGGCGTCCAGTCTATTGCGATATTTTGTTTTCGTGGCTGCGTAGGTAGAGAATCCTGTTTCGCACAAATATGTAGTTGGGAACGGGAGAAGAATATCCAGAGCCATTTGGCCAAGCATTGCATATTCATCTTGGATTCTGCACCAAAAATCATTAAGAGGCGTCGTTTTGAACAATGACTCCATACTTGTGTCTGATGACATTTCTAAAAGAGATTCATATATCTCATTTGACATGTTTTCAGGCTTTTCCAAGTTGGGTAAAAAAGGATTATGAATCCAGGAGTTCACTTTAATTTTTGTATTGTGTTCTTCGGGAAAATACTTTTCAAAAGATGCGCGCATCGAACTGAGATATTGGACCAATTCTTCAAACACATTATCTTCAAACATTTCTGAGTCGTTTTCGCTAACAAACTCAGTGAGTAACGTAAAACTTTCTATTTCTTTCTTACCAATGCAAATGATCCAAAAATCTAATTTTCTTTTAAAAGTAGTTATTTTATTATAGGCCTGAAACACTGTTGTCTGTTTACCTTGCAATGATAAATTTAATTCGTTAAGTTTTTGAAAGATATCCGCCATAAAAGACAATCGGAACAACCAAGTTTTATCATACAAACGGTCCTTCAAATTAAAAGAAGTATCTGCTGAAAGAAACATTTGTAACTCGGCTCTAAGTTCAAATAGCCTTGTTAAAGTTTTTCCCCGAGACAGCCATCGCACTTCTGTATGGAGCAGCAGTGTTTTATGTTTGCTGCCATAATCTTCACACAATAATGAGAACAATCGGGATTGTAGTGGTCGTGATTTGATAAAATTAATTATTTTTACCGCTTCATCCATAACTAATTTTAGATTAGACGGCATTTGCTTCATCGCAAGTGCTTGTCTATGCAGAATACAATGACTGGAACTACAATTAGGCGCTTTATTTTTCATTCGTGACACTGCTCCTGCTGTTTTACCTGTCATCGCCTTGGCCCCATCTGTACAAATGTCAATGCAATTGTTCCAACTGAGATTATGTTCTTCAAAAAATATATTTATTTTATTAAAAATTTCTTCCCCGGTAGTGTTTGTAAGCAGCGATGAACACATAAGCATGTCTTCTTCAAAAGAACTTTTATATGGATATCTCACAATAACCAGCAGGATAGCCAAACCAGCGACATCAGTCGACTCGTCCATTTGCAAAGCGAATCGTGTATTTTGTAGACGTGTAACTAGTTCTTGTTTGACGTAGCTTGCCAGATCATGGATTCGTCGTGAAACAGTATCGTTTGATAGCGGAACAGTAGAAAGATGCTTTGCAGATTTTTCATCAAGCATACATTTTGTTATGTCTAATACACATGGTTTTATTAATTTCTCAGCGATAGTGTGCGCTTCACCTGCTTGTGCAATGCGATAGCTAACTAAGTATGATGCCTCCGTGGCCTTTTCGTTGGTAGTTTGTGTTACATGCATCATATTTTTTTGACTTTCTAATAACTGATCTTTTTTGCGAACAAAAAATTCTTTATTCTTGTCTTTAGTCTCGGGGTGTACGGTTTCTAAATGTCGACGCAATTTGGCAGGTGCCATGGAACTATTAGGAAGCAGTTTACTACAGAGCATGCAGAGAGGTGAGCCGTTGGAATCAACAAATCCGAAACTGATATAAGATTCATCATACTTCCTTTTTTTCGTCTTTGAAACCGTCGAGCTTGACGTCGTGGCACTCGTGGCATCATCTTCTGGATCGGTGATTGCTAAATTCTCCGCGCGCATTGCTTTTGAACATTCAGCGTCATTAGAAGATGTTGTTGGAACACGTTTAACACCTTTAAGCCAACGTTCCATTCTTCTTTATTTATAATGTTACAAGTCAGGATAGTGGGGTTTAAATAATGCACAATCGTTACTGCGTATAAGAGACTAAATTTAGAACCTACAGGGAAGAAATGTATAAAACTGAGACAACAGAATACAGCAGGCAGTAAAACAATGAACACCAGTTTCTCGCTAGCGAGCTTGTAAGTAGGTAGTAACTTATCGCTCCGAACGCTAATCATCAACTGACGACGCCAACGCGCGATCGCCGCTTTTATACTTAGTCCTAGACTCGATCTCAAATATTCTCGAAAATACTCGAGTCGGCACCTTTGATAAACAAAAAGCAAAAATAAAAACAGAAATTTAAAAATAGCGTTGTAAACAATATCGACTTTATCCTTTGAAGTTAGAGACGAAAGTCGCTAGTTGACAACTATAGCGTCTAATTCAGAGGCGGCTTTTATCAAAGAGACTGAGCGCTTACAAGTATACTACCCGCTCGTTTTAAGTTTGCCGCTGGCGATAGGTATGAGTGTATGACGTTCGAAATTTTTTATTTAATTGTAACAATAAAAATTGTGTACGTTAGATATTTGGGTAAAACTATGACACATTATAAGTTTTGTTGTCACGTGGGGGAGGGTACGCGCATTCCACAGACCGGCAAACTTAGAGCGAACGCGTTGTACAAGTATAAAATTGTTGAGACCAAACTTATGAGATATTGTACCAGCTAATGTAACACAAGCTTATACAAATACAAATAAATAAATAAATAACATTCATAGCGTTTTGTCTCCGCGCGGCCGCGGAGTCCGCACAGCCGCGGAGCGACCAGAGAGAGGTGTTTTGATTTTTTTATTTCTAAATTCTTGCGGAACCCCGACAGAGGTATCACGGAACCCTAGGGTTCCGCGGAACACACTTAGAGTATAGCTGTTCTAATAAATTATATTCAGTAGCGATTTTAATTGAATATTTTGATTATTAATTTATTTTTTCAAATTAAAACTGAACTTTATTGACTGTGTCCTTTTCCAGACTTTTTATTAATTTATTGTAATTAATTATTTGCATGCAATTAAAAACTAATTTTAAACGATGCCAAAGAAGGATAACTTCTCACGCGCCTACATAAGTACACGCACCCATTTTTTTTTTATTAATTTACATAATATTTTCCAATATTCCAGCCAACTCCACAGAGCGCGCGGGCCCCAAAAACATCTCGGACATCATGCGAGCCATCAACAGATACAACGACGCACAGACCATCTACAACGAGGACATATTCGGACCTGTCCAGAACGACACTATCATTATAGCTATACAGGTACGTCTTATCCATACTTATATTACTGGGTGTCCCGGAAAACCCAGGATTCTTTAAGAGTTGGTATATGTTCTAAGTTTAAGAGGCGCGAAGAATTAATTATGCATGCAAGGGTGAGGATGGCTAGTGTGGCAGGTAGAACTGCTGTACGAGCTATCTTCGCGTCTGGACTCCACTATCACATCACATCAGGTGGGTCGGAGTCATTGTCGGACCTATATACATAAGAAAAAAAAATGTGTGCACGGACCACACATATGAAGTGAAACTTCTTTTCTTAAATAATCTGACATTAGGCGGTGCATAAGGTATAGGGGAATGGAGCAGCGGACGCATCACTCATGTATATATATATATACATACTAGCTGACCCAGCGAACAAAATTGTGAATCTAAACCATTCTCAGATCCCCTTGAACACACACAAAAAATTTCATCAAAATCGGTCCAGTCGTTTAAGAGAAGTTCAGTGACATACACACTCACAGAAGAATTATATATATATATATATATGACGCGTGTGACGCTTTCGACGCTCGTAGTTTTTCAGCCTTCGCCGACTTACCCTCCAACTTTTATGCTCATTGGGAAGAGCTGCGCACGTATCCCACTCACGCACACATATATATAGTCGTGTGACGCATTTCCGTTTCATATTTGCTATAGCATTTTCCATTAACACACCGTCCGAAAAGAAGTTTAACTTCAATAAATGCCGGCCTGCAAAAATGCAAATAGTGTAGGTACTCGTTTATAATTTCCGTTTGCTTTATCGCACTGAAGTCATAAACAAATCAAGTATTGCTGTAGGAAGTATTAAGAGGAATTTACTACAGTGATTTTGTAAGTCTCAATTTCAAAATTTTGGTTTCGGCATTCTCCTCCTAGCCAGCAGCAAGTCTTTCCCTTTCAATCCTTCCAACTTCAGCTTCTTCGGCATTAACTTGGTCTCCTTTGGTACTGTAGTCTTCGTCTTGGTCTCTGGGACTTCGCTTCTGATGTCTGAACCTGGACGGTGTTCTAGCCAAATTAGTTGGACCTCGTCCGTCTTGCACAGCTTGAACTTTCTTGGTGCCTGAAGTATAAAATTTATAAATTTCAGTGTCTTACTTTGATGTTTGGGTTGGGCTACATTGCAACCAATTCTAGATGATAATAAACCTATTGGGATTAAGTCAGGAATGGTCCTAATTCTGACACGATTCTCTAAACCTAGCTCATAATCCATATGCGCACCAAATATCCTACGAATCCGTGTCCGTAGTTTTTGCGTGATTTTTTAGCTAATTTAATAAATAAAGTAAAGTATTTAATTAATTTATATAATTTTGAGTTTACTACTGTAAGTACTACTACTTCTACCGTCATTCTTTTTATATTTCTTAAATTCTTACTTGATATTCCCTGCATATGTCCTCCTCTGGAGGCGCGTAGTGTGGTATGTGGAGTTGAGAAGGAGGTGCCTTCACTCTAGCGAACTTCACTTTAGGGTAGTCGGGTTTTCGGTACCTTTTGATAGGAAACGATTGGTTTTAGAGAGAGATTAAAGATGTATCTGTATGATCTATTTCTTTTTGAAAACAAAGGTCAAATTTCAAAGATCTTTAATCCATACATAAGTAGAGTTTACTTGTTATTAGAAGGTCTTAAATGCAATTACAAATTCTTTCATCTGGTTTGACATTTTTAAGCGATTAATCAGGCAAGTAGGTCATGAATAACTTTTTTTCGATAGTACTTTGTCAATATTAAGCGTGATAAAAACGTTATATACAGGGTGTAAAAGAACCTTTAACTAAGTCGAAGGCCACGTATTTTCCACATCATGACGATAATTTTTTTCTTGTGGATACCTGGGAAATTTATGATTATGGAGATACTGAAGGTCAAAGTTTTCAAGATTTATGCATTAATATTTTCAAAACATTATTTAGAAACTTATTTTATCGACGCACTTACACACACGCACACACATACACATTCTTTGCGTAGCGCCACAGTAGTGCGCCGCGCTATACATTGCGTACTAAAAAACATGTTTTTTTAAGGTGTACAGAATGCGTAGTTTTAGTCTTTGTCATAGGTTTTTTTACATCCTGTATAATAATAAATCACGGTGCTTATGCTAGAGAAGGAAGATGTTTTAAATAATTACCAGACCAAATCCCAGTGATCTCGATGTACAGGAGCGGGATTCAGTATTTTCATCCATCGAAGGACGTCGCACCTGAATTTTTTGAAAATTATGAAAACTAACATAATATGCTCTCTATTTTTACCCGACTGCGCAATGCAAGAGCGCGAAGCGCGACGCGCAGCGCGACGCGCAGCGCGACGCGCAGCGCGACGCGCAGACAGGGTATAGTGTTTAACAGTCTATGTATGTATGTTCCTTTGTGGCTAGGGTTTATGCAGTGTTAAAGTAAGGGTAACTTGATGGAATTCATCGTATATTCTATACATATTTTGTGAACTCCGTTTCACCGTAATTTTTCAATGAGACCTGTAATTGGCCTTTTTTTATAGCTAAACATGTAGTAAATTTGTAATTAATACGCTTTTGGTTTCTTAAAATAAATAATAATAAAAGGGTTACCATTCGTCGGGATTTGTCAAGACAGCCCGGACTTTGTCCGGCTTTTTAATTTGCCCGGATTTTTTTAATTACATTGAATATGAGTGAAACTACTTATTTTGTTATATCAAATAAGTCAAAGAATCTTTATTAAATTCTCATTAATTTAAAACAAAATATAAATTATCTTTTAAAATCAACAACTACGCCCCCCTTGCGATGTGAGCGTCTGCTACCACGCGTATAATATCACTGTAACTAAGTGGGTGATGTTTTGCATTTTGTGACTAAAATGTCCGGACTTCTATCTCGAAATGTCCGGCCTTTTGTCAGGACTTTGGTAACCCTATTTGAGGCACAATAGAGACAAACGCGTGGACCGATTTTGATGATTCATACGTCTATCGATTTGTCTTAATCATGGGAGTACTACTGAAGACAATAGTAATCGAAATACAATATGGAGGGGACAAGTAGGCGCCATATTGTGAAAGAAATAAAAATAGTTGACTAAATGTGTATAATACAAGCCTGAGAACAAAAACTGTAGTCTACACTTCAGCTCTACACCGAAGCGAAGCGAGGGCGAGCCGCTAGTGTAGTTATAAGTTAGATTAAAACAATAAAGGAAGATCCGGTATGCTTAAACTAGCATCAAATAAAATATGATCCGACTCAACTACATAAGCGACAGAATTGTACGTTTCAACGTAGCGCGAACGAAACGGTTGCCTTTCGGTCATCATCATCATCAGCCTATTAAAGTCCCCACTGCTGGGGCACAGGTCTTCCTTATGGATGGAATAGAAAGATTGGGCCATGACCCACCACGCGGGCCCAGTGCGGATTGGTGGGTGCTAACGACTGTAGATGCAGTCGGGACCAACGGCTTAATGTGCCTTCCGAAGCACGTAGGAGCACGAGATAGTAAATTTTTGGTCACCCATCCAATGACCGACCCCTGAGAAAGTTACTTAACCTCAACGATCGCAGCCGAACATGATAACCACTTGCGCCATCGAGCTCCTCATCCGCTGTCTTTCGGTAATATTTTGGAAATCAGTGTCTTATATCACTACCTTTCTTATAGTGAAAATAGTAAGTAAATATTCTCAATCGGAGCCAAAACATGTTCCATCAAAATCCTCTCACCTAGTCCAATTCTGGCGAATACCCCAGTTGGGTCCCGTCCTTGACTTGAACCAGGTGCAATGCGTCAACGGCTTCTGCGGCGGCAGACCGATGCTGCGGCAGAATCTGATGAACTCCATACCAAACTCCCGTCGTACGGACTTTGTGATCCTCTGAGGAATTAGGTTTAGCTGTCTTAGTATGTACCAGCTAAGCTGTTGCTGTGATGTTTAATTATTGAAAGGTGGCAATTAAAGTAGGTCTGACATATTAAATGTAATGCATGAGAAAATCTTGTCAGTCCTTTGTACATAATCATCGTCAGGGCAGGGCAGGACAGGCGCGGCTGTGGTAAGAGAGACTCGTCGAAATTTAGTTATCTATTAGTGGTATAGTGGGGGGGTCCCCACAACAGAGATAACTAAAATTCGACGAGTCTCCAGCCAGACGGGAGTTGGGGGGGATTTTAAGTGGCCCGGGATTCCAGACTTGAACACACCTCTAAATCCGCCCCTGATCACGGTCATGTTATTTTCATTAACCGCTTTAGATAGATCGATAGATAAAACTTTATTCGCACCAACATGCACACATACAGAATTGAAGACAAATTGTACAATTATATAAATCCTTTAAAACATGCAAAAAAATATATATATTTATACAACTATACTATGATATTTTCGTGTGCAGCAGCGATGCGAATGGGCGAAAACTCAGCGTAACATTTACTCAGAGAGTAAATCCTTTAATTAGAAAATAATTTTCAGTTCTGACCCATATAGATGCTATGTTTTTAATTGAAGATATCCCTTGAACATAGGAGAGCTTTATCGCGCTTGTCGACGAGTTTTAAACAGTGTCTCAAGTCCTGGCGTTAGTTTGGTATGGGACGTACGCGCCCTCTCGGCACGCACTAGGGCGACCGCGATCCTCATAGTGCGTCTCGGGTGACGGAGCAGAAGTATTGTCTGGTTTTTAGTAGTCCTGTTCACTACTTCCAGCCCTAAGGCTGGCTGAAAGGAACGGGGAGGAGTCCCACATACCTCGCTCCCCCAGTGGTTGAAGGATGCGTAAGGCATTTCCCAGACACGTATGGGAAACTATGGAGCTTGGAGATTGTTAACGACACCGGCACTAGCGATGGTTCGGGTTGGGGCCGGTCCAAATGTACAAACCGTGCTCGTGATCAAGCTTATCCGGCACGGGCCTGGGTAAATATTGTCTCTCCAACAGGCATTCTTAGGTTTCTAAAAACTAAACTCATCATCAGCCTATTAATGTCCTCACTGTTGGGGCACTGGCCTTCCCTATGGATGGAATAGGGAGATTGGGCCATGACCAACCACGCGGGCCCAGTGCGGATTGGCGGGTGCTAACGACTGCTAATGAAGCCGGGACCAACGGCTGAACGTGCCTTCCGAAGCACGGAGGAACTCGAGATACATAACTCGAAGATTTTTGGTCGCCCATCCAATGGCTGACCACTGCGAAAGTTGCTTAACTTCAACGATCGCAACCGAACGCGCTAACCACCAGCGCCATCGAGCTCCTCAACAAATTAATATTAACTAATTTCAAATTGTAACAAAAGAAGCTAATAGAAGCTAAGCTAGAAGAAGAACACCAATCTTGTACTTACTTGTATATGTTTAAAGTCGTGGACGTTGATAGCTGGCAAATGCGATGGATCTTCCAGCATAAGTAGTCTCATACCGTTGACGTGGTTGTCCAGAATGCATTCCTGGAAACATAAATATTGTTAAGGCAGCAAGTTTTTGCACAGAAGGGAACCGTAGGTGATTCTGTGGGAAATAGTCTTGGATCGAAGTTAGAAGAAGAACTTTCCAAGATAATCGACATTTATTTTATAATAATTAAGGTCACCTACATGGCGGAAAATGCAACTCAACATGCAATTTAAAAAAGAAAATCGTATTCTAAGAAAACAGTAGATTCATGTAGAAAAACAGAAGAACAGGAAAGGAGACATACCATTTACTTGGGAGTACCGGTGGTGACTTTTCGTTCGGTCTGCTATTGGAGGCGTTAAGCAACTTTTGTAACTGCTGGTCATGGTGTGGGTGACCAAAATTTGTTATCTCACGCTCTTCCGAGCTTCGTAAGACACTTTAAGCAGTTGGTCCCGGCTGCATTTCTAGTTGTTAGCACCTTCCAATTCGCACTGGGCTCGGTGGTAAGTCTGACCCATTCTCTTTATATCATTTACTAGTGGCCCTCCCTCGCTTCGCTTCGGTGTAGAGCTGTAGTGTAGACTATAGTTTTTGTTCTCAGGCTTGTATTATAAACAATGACTTTATTGATATAATTACTATAGGCACGCGCCGCCGGCCCCGGGTAACCGTAAACCTATGTCCCTGCATCTCAAATCTGGAATATCTTCAAAAATACTCATTTCAATTACATGCTGCAAAGGGCCGTATTGATCTATATTTAATGCACAATGTATTTAAGGTACATCATTGGATAAGCATTGATGGTGTATTGCTTCAAATCGCTTCGTAAATAAGCCATTATTTCTCTTAAAAAGTAAAGGATAAAAAATGGTTATTGTGTAAACCGCATCAAAATCCTTTGCGTAGTTTTAAAGATCTAAGCATACCTACATAGGGACAGACAGACAGCGGGAAGCGACTTTGCTTTATACTATGTAGTGATAAGAAAGGCCTGTGCCCCAGGAGTGGTTAAAACTGTGGAATATATTGTCGCCAGCAGTGTTTCCGGACTAATACGACCCAAAAATCTTCAAAAAAAGAGCGTACTCCTTCCTTAAGGGCCGGCATCGCATTTGTGATACTCTTGGTGTTGCAAGTGTCCATGGGCGACGGTGATCACTTACCATCAGGTGAGCCGTCTGCTCGTATGCCACCTAAAACAAAAAAAAACATTAATAAGCTGGTGAGGATGATACCCTGTACTGCGGTAGTCCTACGATGTTCTCAATCCACTCGGCAACTTCTTCTACGCTCCAACTGAAGGCTGCAGGAAATCTTAGAGCATCCACCACTTTAGCTGCCAACTCGTACAGAGTTATCGGAGACTTCTGACATGGGTTTAGTTTTCTGGACAATGAAATATTACATTATTCAGTTTAGGCTCTTTAGAAGTCTATAAATAAGTACGGTTAACTGGATTTAGGGAGATATTAAAAAAAGAACGAGTGTGCTTATGACCACACGACTGAAGTTAAACATATACATATATGTACATAAACATATTTCATTTACTAGCTATAAGAGAAAGAAAATGTGCGCGCGCACTGCATTCTCTTGCTTATATCTCCCACTCAACTCCCGTTCGCGTCGCCCGAACACACTTTTCGTAACACGTAACGCATTCGCCAGCTTACCCCCCAAGTCATGAGTGCGTAAAGAAGTTTGTTTCACTTCAAAAATTAACGAGTAACAAAAATGCTATAGAATTACAAATGTATGTATGATTCTTTAGATTAGATTTGCTTATTGGCATAGAGCAGCTATACTCTAAGTGTGTTCCGCGGAACCCTAGGGTTCCGTGATACCTCTGTCGGGGTTCCGCAAGAATTTAGAAATAAAAAAATCAAAACACCTCTCTCTGGTCGCTCCGCGGCTGTGCGGACTCCGCGGCCGCGCGGAGACAAAACGCTATGAATGTTATTTATTTATTTATTTGTATTTGTATAAGCTTGTGTTACATTAGCTGGTACAATATCTCATAAGTTTGGTCTCAACAATTTTATACTTGTACAACGCGTTCGCTCTAAGTTTGCCGGTCTGTGGAATGCGCGTACCCTCCCCCACGTGACAACAAAACTTATAATGTGTCATAGTTTTACCCAAATATCTAACGTACACAATTTTTATTGTTACAATTAAATAAAAAATTTCGAACGTCATACACTCATACCTATCGCCAGCGGCAAACTTAAAACGAGCGGGTAGTATACTTGTAAGCGCTCAGTCTCTTTGATAAAAGCCGCCTCTGAATTAGACGCTATAGTTGTCAACTAGCGACTTTCGTCTCTAACTTCAAAGGATAAAGTCGATATTGTTTACAACGCTATTTTTAAATTTCTGTTTTTATTTTTGCTTTTTGTTTATCAAAGGTGCCGACTCGAGTATTTTCGAGAATATTTGAGATCGAGTCTAGGACTAAGTATAAAAGCGGCGATCGCGCGTTGGCGTCGTCAGTTGATGATTAGCGTTCGGAGCGATAAGTTACTACCTACTTACAAGCTCGCTAGCGAGAAACTGGTGTTCATTGTTTTACTGCCTGCTGTATTCTGTTGTCTCAGTTTTATACATTTCTTCCCTGTAGGTTCTAAATTTAGTCTCTTATACGCAGTAACGATTGTGCATTATTTAAACCCCACTATCCTGACTTGTAACATTATAAATAAAGAAGAATGGAACGTTGGCTTAAAGGTGTTAAACGTGTTCCAACAACATCTTCTAATGACGCTGAATGTTCAAAAGCAATGCGCGCGGAGAATTTAGCAATCACCGATCCAGAAGATGATGCCACGAGTGCCACGACGTCAAGCTCGACGGTTTCAAAGACGAAAAAAAGGAAGTATGATGAATCTTATATCAGTTTCGGATTTGTTGATTCCAACGGCTCACCTCTCTGCATGCTCTGTAGTAAACTGCTTCCTAATAGTTCCATGGCACCTGCCAAATTGCGTCGACATTTAGAAACCGTACACCCCGAGACTAAAGACAAGAATAAAGAATTTTTTGTTCGCAAAAAAGATCAGTTATTAGAAAGTCAAAAAAATATGATGCATGTAACACAAACTACCAACGAAAAGGCCACGGAGGCATCATACTTAGTTAGCTATCGCATTGCACAAGCAGGTGAAGCGCACACTATCGCTGAGAAATTAATAAAACCATGTGTATTAGACATAACAAAATGTATGCTTGATGAAAAATCTGCAAAGCATCTTTCTACTGTTCCGCTATCAAACGATACTGTTTCACGACGAATCCATGATCTGGCAAGCTACGTCAAACAAGAACTAGTTACACGTCTACAAAATACACGATTCGCTTTGCAAATGGACGAGTCGACTGATGTCGCTGGTTTGGCTATCCTGCTGGTTATTGTGAGATATCCATATAAAAGTTCTTTTGAAGAAGACATGCTTATGTGTTCATCGCTGCTTACAAACACTACCGGGGAAGAAATTTTTAATAAAATAAATATATTTTTTGAAGAACATAATCTCAGTTGGAACAATTGCATTGACATTTGTACAGATGGGGCCAAGGCGATGACAGGTAAAACAGCAGGAGCAGTGTCACGAATGAAAAATAAAGCGCCTAATTGTAGTTCCAGTCATTGTATTCTGCATAGACAAGCACTTGCGATGAAGCAAATGCCGTCTAATCTAAAATTAGTTATGGATGAAGCGGTAAAAATAATTAATTTTATCAAATCACGACCACTACAATCCCGATTGTTCTCATTATTGTGTGAAGATTATGGCAGCAAACATAAAACACTGCTGCTCCATACAGAAGTGCGATGGCTGTCTCGGGGAAAAACTTTAACAAGGCTATTTGAACTTAGAGCCGAGTTACAAATGTTTCTTTCAGCAGATACTTCTTTTAATTTGAAGGACCGTTTGTATGATAAAACTTGGTTGTTCCGATTGTCTTTTATGGCGGATATCTTTCAAAAACTTAACGAATTAAATTTATCATTGCAAGGTAAACAGACAACAGTGTTTCAGGCCTATAATAAAATAACTACTTTTAAAAGAAAATTAGATTTTTGGATCATTTGCATTGGTAAGAAAGAAATAGAAAGTTTTACGTTACTCACTGAGTTTGTTAGCGAAAACGACTCAGAAATGTTTGAAGATAATGTGTTTGAAGAATTGGTCCAATATCTCAGTTCGATGCGCGCATCTTTTGAAAAGTATTTTCCCGAAGAACACAATACAAAAATTAAAGTGAACTCCTGGATTCATAATCCTTTTTTACCCAACTTGGAAAAGCCTGAAAACATGTCAAATGAGATATATGAATCTCTTTTAGAAATGTCATCAGACACAAGTATGGAGTCATTGTTCAAAACGACGCCTCTTAATGATTTTTGGTGCAGAATCCAAGATGAATATGCAATGCTTGGCCAAATGGCTCTGGATATTCTTCTCCCGTTCCCAACTACATATTTGTGCGAAACAGGATTCTCTACCTACGCAGCCACGAAAACAAAATATCGCAATAGACTGGACGCCGAAGCTGATATGAGACTCCAACTTTCTTCCATCAAACCTGATATCAAGCAATTGATGAAAAATAAAAAACAGTTTCATACCTCCCACTAGTTAGATTTTTTCTTTTTTAATGTTTTCTATTATTGTCCTTACCAAGTGGTGAAGTAAATAATAATTAGTAACGGATACATTGTACTTTTATTATGCTGATTAATATAGAATACACTTATAAAAATAATTGTTTTATTGTAGGGTTCCATCAAGTATTTTGCTTCCCAAAAGGGTTCCGTCATTTAAAAAGTTTGAGAACCACTGGCATAGAGAAATTAAATATTTATATATTATATTAATAAAGACATTTATAGAACATTGGTTTACACAATTCCTTAATAATCTGAATTGCAGTTATCAGTAAGCGACGGTGTTGCAAATAGGCAGAAGCTCAGCAAGGAAATGTATCTGCCATATTAGGCAAAATGCTTATTTTCTGTAACTGCCCGTAGGAAGCACGAGTGTGTAGGCAACAAAACTGGCATTGTAATTTCCAAATTACAACCTTAAATTTGTAGTTTCTTGCCGGTTCTTCTCAGTACAAGGTCTCCCGCCGTAGTTTTGCGAACCGTTGGCGTAGTTTTTGACTTTCACATGTGCTTTGTAAAAGCCTACACTGAATAAATGATTTTTGAATTAAATTGAATTGAATACGGTAACTCGATGGCGCAGGTGGTTAGCGCGTTCTGCTGCGATCGTTGAAGTTAAGCAACTTTTACAGTGGTCGGTCATTGGATGGGTGGCCAAAAATCTTCTATCTCGAGTTCCTCCGTGCTTGGGAAGGCACGTTAAGCCGTTGGTCCCGGTCACTGGGCCTGCGTGGTGGGTAATGGTCCAATCTTCCTATTCCATCCATAGAGAAGGCCTGTGCCTCAGCAGTGGTGGGGACATTAATAGGATGATGATGATGATGATGATGTTGAATACGGTAACAGAGCAGATAACGTGCATACTTAAGTTTGACATAAGGATCTTCCTTCGGAAAGCATGCGCATTCAGCACACGTAGTCTTATCTGGTGTTATGTAGACTATTTGACGTTCAGGGATGACGATAGATGGCTCTCGCCTTGGTATAGTATTCTTCTTGGCTCTCTGGCGAGGATGGTGTGCTTCGGACTTTTGAATGCACTGAAAAATAGTGAAATTATTACGAAAGATTGATTATGAGACATATTTTGGATTCACACGATTCTCGCAATGATTAAGTTAATACTAATCTATAGTGATTCCACTGAAAATTAGGCTAAAACTGTACTTCGCGGGAATTCACACCACTTTTTTTAAAAGTTCTGTTAACGAAGTATTTTGTGGCTCTTCGCCAGACCGAAGCAAGCTCGCTTCGCTCGCTCGGATCCGGCGTTATGATCATGACGCTAGTCTAACCTACCCTTAAGTCACAGTTTCAACTTCCGAGCCCAAGAAGTTTAGTTTGGCTCGTATTTTCTTCCACATATATTATTACAAAACTTGGTTAATTTTAGGCTTTTTTTTCGCGATGCTTTTTCTTGTCTCTAATTATCAGGCTTAATAGGCTTGTAGAATTAATTTAATCAACGTTTTGTTAATATGGGGGTAATTCAGTAAAGATGCTACGAACCAAAATATTGTCAGCCTCATCCATAGTAATAAATTGTTCTACATGCACTAATGGTGACGTATGAAAAAAAATATAAAATATCAATAAAATCTTAGATTTCAATAAAGCAACAGCTGGAGTATTCAGTATAAAAGTCAAAGTCAAAATAGAAATTAGCAATGTGACATTTTGATGTACCAAAGAGGTATATATTATAATACTATAAATGTCATGGACCTAAGATTTCGATACAATCAATGTTTTTTTAGTTACGTTGCAGATTTTATGATTTTAACGTGTCCTGTCATGACTCTAGGATTTGCTACCCTGGATTTTGGTAAACGTAGCAACGATATTTAATACCCTAGATACAACAACACGAACAAAATCGTGGCCGAAACCTGTCCAAAAGGTACATTGGACGATCTACGGAGCTTCTTAAGGTAATTCCGTAGTCAAACACAATATAAGGCATTTTTTTAACATTGAATTGTATTTTTTTAACATAATGTATAAGGTCTTAATTAAAACGCATACGTCGAAGAGTTATGACAGTTCGAAATGCAAGGTCGTAAAATTTTACGATTTATTACTATAGGCGGAAGAATATAGACCTTATTTCTTTGTCCCTTCGCGCAATTCTGAATGCGCTGTTATCAGTACAGCAGTAACGGACCGCGAGGAAATGAGACGGCTATATTACCGACCATGCATTTGAATATCTCAAATATTTTCTATAACATCAGTTTATCATAGTATTAGAACAAAATTTTCTTCAAATTCGTTATATTAACAAACATTGGTTAGGTACTAGACGAAAAACGACACGTTATGTACTATAAGTATTTTTTTCACATTTTTTCACGGAGCTCTGCGGCATCTTGACTTCTTAACGGTCCGCGCGTGACTGTGAACCAAGAAGTGCTTAAATGGAGTTCAAGCACTTCTTGATTGGGATACATTTCGAGAGCTCGTGGTGTATCTAGGGTATTTAATATCGTTAAAAGGTAGCTTAAATAAACTTAAAAAAAAACCCGGCCAAAAAAGTGCGAGCCAGGCTCGTGCAAAATTGTTTTGTATTGTATTGTTGTCCTTTTATGGCTAACAAATAGTGAAAAAGTAAATATCATTCATTAGGGGAAAAAAATGTTGTCATAGTTTTACGAATGAAAAGTGTTGGCGTGAAATTTGTTATTTGATCTTGAACTATTTGTGTTCCTTATAAAAGCATGGAAGGCATTGTTTTGTCTTTATAACGGAGAATATACGCAATATTATTATATTGAGTGCACATGCAGCGTGTATGAATATCCAATTGTGACTAAAGCGAATTGTGGTCATGAACCACCATTTAAGCTGATCAGTTATGAGCCGCGAGTGCCGTATCTTCCCTTTTTATATAAATCAGACACATTTTTCTCACCAGGTCCACACGCGGCTCACATACCTTCGACACCTGATAGTGTCTCTAGCACAAGCGCGGGACATAGACAGGACCCTGCTCATCTTCTCGCACGACTACTATGAGGAGGAGATCAATAATCTCGTGAGGAGTATAGACTTTACGAAGGTAAGTGTCATCATCAACATAATCAGCCTATCAATGTCCCTACTGCTGGGGCTCAGGCCTCCCTTATGGCTGGTATACACAGAACGGTCCGTGACCACCACGCGGATACTGTCTGTAGGCGCTAACCACTGCAGATGCAGCTGGGGTAGTACAAGCGCGGGACATAGACAGGACCCTGCTCATCTTCTCGCACGACTACTATGAGAGGAGATCAACAATCTCGTTAGGAGTATAGACTTTACGAAGGTAAGTGTCATCATCAACATAATCAGCCTATCAATGTCCCCACTGCTGGGGCATAGGCCTCCCCTATGACTGGTATACACAGAACGGTCCGTGACTACCACGCGGATACTGTCTGCAGGCGCTAACCACTGCAGATGTAGCTGGGGTAGTACAAGCGCGGGACATAGACAGGACCCTGCTCATCTTCTCGCACGACTACTATGAGGAGGAGATCAATAATCTCGTTAGGAGTATAGACTTTACGAAGGTAAGTGTCATCATCAACTTATCAGCGTAACAATGTCCCCACTGCTGGGGCATAGGCCTCCCCTATGGCTGGTGTACACAGAACGCTCCGTGATCACCACGCGGATACTGTCTGTAGGCGCTAACCACTGCAGATGCAGCTGGGGTAGTACAAGCGCGGGACATAGACAGGACCCTGCTCATCTTCTCGCACGACTACTATAAGGAGGAGATCAATAATCTCGTTAGGAGTATAGACTTTACGAAGGTAAGTGTCATCATCAACTTAACAGCGTAACAATGTCCCCACTGCTGGGGCATAGGCCTCCCCTATGGCTGGTATACACAGAACGGTCCGTGACCACCACGCGGATACTGTCTGCATGCGCTAACCACTGCAGATGCAGCTGGGGTAGTACAAGCGTGGGTCATAGACGGGACCTTGCTCGTCTTCTCGCATGACTTCTACGAGTATGAGGAGGAGATCAACAATCTCGTTAGGAGTATAGGCTTTACGAAGGTTAGTGTCATCATCAACATAATCAGCCTATCAATGTCCCCACTGCTGGGGCACAGGCCTCCCTTATGGCTGGCGTACACAGAACGGTCCGTGACCACCACGCGGATACTGTCTGTAGGCGCTAACCACTGCAGATGCAGCTGGGGTAGTACAAGCGCGGGACATAGACAGGACCCTGCTCATCTTCTCGCACGACTACTATGAGGAGGAGATCAATAATCTCGTTAGGAGTATAGACTTTACGAAGGTAAGTGCATCATCAACGACGACCTCCGTGGTCGAGTGGTTTGTACGCCGGGTTGCATGGTGTCGCCGACTCGAGAGGTCCCGGGTTCAAATCCCGGTGGGGGCAGATGTTTGTGTGATGAATACGAGCATTTGTACTCCAGTCATGGATGTTTAATATGTATTTCTATAAAAAAAAAAATATACTTATATATGTACAGTTTATGTATTCTATCCGTTACCCTAGTATCCCATAACACAAGCCTTATAGTGCTTACTTTGGGGCTAGGCTAATTGGTGTGAGTGTTGGAAATATTTATTATTTATTATTATTATCAACTTATCAGCGTAACAATGTCCCCACTGCTGGGGCACAGGCCTCCCTTATGGCTGGTGTACACAGAAAGGTCCGTGACCACCACGCGTGAAATAAAATTTGCGCAGTAGACATTTTTGTTTGTAAAACTGCTCCTTGTCTATCGGCATTTTACATTATGTGCTGATAGAGTATATATATATATTTATTAATAAGAAACAAACAGTCACACATCATTTCTTTCTTTTCATTGGTTAAAAGACCTATAGTTTCCTTAATTAATTCAAGTATTAATTTATCCAGTAGCATTGGTTAGCAATATAAACAGCAACATACACATTTAAGCTCAAAGCATCACACACATAAGAAATTAAAGTACATAACAAAAAAGAATTAGGCAGCAAGGCATTGTTCAAGCAGAAGTCCATAAAATAACACAAGAATTAGTACTCATTTATTTTCTTTTCAGGTTATGCAAATATTTTACCCCTACTCGATACAGACGCACCCTCACGAATACCCTGGTACGGATCCGAACGACTGCCCCAGGGACGCCAAGTTTGAACAGTAAGTTTATAGTTATACTAGCTGTGCCTCGCGGTTTATAAGGGATATTTTTTGCGGAAGGGATTAAGGGATAGCCAGTCCGCTGTGCCTGTTTATTGATAACAAAACCGTTAGGCCACGAACCTGAATACGTGGCTGCTGTTCTTCCAATCATCATCATCTTATGATTGATCTTACTTGCATTCAAGTTTCTTCAATATTTATCAAGCACTATGAAGTACAGTAAGTTTATAGTTATACTAGCTGTGCCTCGCGGTGTTACCCGCGGTTTATAAGGGATATTTTGCCGCAGTAAAACGTAGCCTGTGTTAATTCAGGGTGTCAGCTAACTCCATACCCAATTTTAATAAAATAGCTCCAGCCATTTAGACCTGAAGAAGTAACAAACATACACACTCACACACACACAAACTTTCGCCTTTATAATATTAGTGTGATATTATTTTTATTTTTAAGCATTTAATTGCTAGATGTTATCTTAAGAAAATTTTGCTAGAAAAAATTTCACGCTGTCCAGGCAGCAGACGGGACTCAAACCAGCACCCTTCGCTATACGAGCGAATGCACTGTCCATTGTGCTACCGCGGCCCCGATGGCCGTGTCGAATTTTCTCTACTATCCCTTAGGCTGCAAGGCAGTGCCATCTCTTCGCATTGTAGGTAACCCACAACGTCAAATGAATACCTTTACATCATTAAAGTTATATTAAAGTATTATTTAAGTTTATATCATGCTTTATTTTTACGTTTTAATTTCCTTTTTACGGTAACGCACTATTACATTCTGGAAATGGAACTCTTGTTCAAAACAATTGATCAACTATAAGCAGTTTTGGATTTTTGATAACCTAAATGATGCGAGTGGTATTTACACCGGTTTTCAGTTTTCAAGGTGTTGCCTACTTAGACGTTCCGAGGGTCGAACCCCGGTGGGACAGCTGTACCGTTTGACGTTTTAATGACAGTCGTGTAACGTCACTCAGTGAGACGCCTTAACGTCCAGAAAAACAGTTTCGCGGCAACTTGAAAATATAATTTAGTTTTTTTACCGAATTACACTACAGAATTGACAATTTCCAATTCTTATGGATTCCATAAACATTAGTTAAAAACATGAGATCTTTTTCTGAAACTTGTCAAATTGTTGTCGTTTGTAAATATTACCACAGGTGTATATTTATTCTTCTTCATTCTTCTACTAGAAAATTAATTTTGTTCGCCAAGTGATAGAGCGCAAAATTCCGCGATAGTACCTTGTTTTTTATGAGTCTCGGATATTTCGGCACTGTTGCAAGCGCCATGATCACGGAGTAACTGAAGTAATTGCGGGTAGATTGCGGTAGTATTGGCAGACTTATCGGTCTACCCTCTGCCGTTGTCTTTTATTGCGTTCGATACCCCATGGCGTATAAAAAAATCTTAAATAAAAACTAGTTTTAACGGGTTAATGCACGAACTTTATTTATTTATTGACGTTTCGCAGCCTTTTCAGGTCTGCATCGTCAGAATAATGTTTTTTTATTTACTTTGTTGAGTTACATTCGAAAGACTTTTATTGAGCGTTCGCATATTTCATTGGAAGATTTTTAAATTTTTATTGTCTATGTATGAATTTATTACTTAATTTAGTTAATAAAGTACTTTATTTAAAATTCTTTTTTGTAATTTTGAGTTTATTTAGTTGACCGTAACTACTGTTAACTATAAACTACCACCGGTTCCAAAATTGGGAGACCTTTCTGAGAAGAACCGGCGAAACAATCTCAGAGAGGCTTTCTATGTCCTTCTTATGTTGTAGCTCAACAAAGTAAATAAAAAATCATTAGTCTGACAATGCAGACCTGAAAAGGCTGCGAAACGTCAATAAATAAAGAAAGTTCGTGCATTAACCCGTTAAAACTATCTATATCGTTTTATTTAATGAGTGATGTGAGTTAAAACCTAAGAAACAAATAAAAAAAAAAATCTTAAAATAATTATTTCTTTCCAGAGCAGTAAAGTTGAAATGCAACAACGCTCTGCACCCAGACTTGCACGGCCATTACAGAGAAGCCAAATACACTCAAACCAAACACCATTGGTGGTGGAAAGCAAACAGGATATTTAATCAGCTCCAATGCACTATAGGACATACAGGTAAAAATAAACTTTAATTACTTTGGTTTAAAGTCATTCGACTTGCGAAGATTTTATATTCTCTTTAATAAATAGAAAAGAACAATATTAAATTTCTTCATCAGCCTATTTATGTCCCCACTGCTGGGGCACAGGCCTTCCCTATGCATGGAATAGGGAGATTGGGCCATAACCCACCACGCGGGCCCAGTGCGGATTGGTGGGTGCTAACGACTGCAGATGCAGCCGGGACCAACGGCTTAACGTGCCTTCCGAAGCACGGAGGAGCTCGAGATAGTAATTTTTGGTCACTCATCCAATGACCGACCACTGCGAAAGCTGCTTAACTCCAACGATCGCAGCCGAACGCGCTAACCACTTGCGCCATCGAGCTCCATTAAATTTAATAAAAAGAAAACAACACGAACTAAATCGTGTCCGGAACCTGTCCATAAGATACATTGGTCGATCCACGGAGCACCGTAAGATGATCGCGTAGTCAAAAACAATATAAGGCATTATTTAAACATTCAAGATCACCTCTAATGCATACGGAATAAGGCCTTTATTAAAACACATGCGTCAAAGAGTTATGACAGTTCGCAATGCAAGCTCGTAAAATTTTATGACTTGCTATATGCGGAAGAATATAGACCTTATATCTTTGACTCTACGCGCAATTCTGAAAGCGTTGTTAGCAATATAGCAGGTACGGACCGCGAGGAAAAGAGACGGCTATATTACTAGTATTTTTTTGAGTGTGTATGCTGTTGGTCGTAGATGACCTTTAAAGCGTCACGGGTTTGAGCACAGCGAGATCCTAAGGGGACCTCAAGCCGAGTACCTACAATGTTACATGTATAAATAAGCAAAAATTTGTGTTTAAAATACTCTTTATTTGCTTCAGAGTAAACATCTAAATTACTTTAATCATTTTGTCTTTCATTTGGGCGCATGCCATTATCTATGTCCAAGGGCGGGACATCATTATCCTCATTTGCCACACATTTCACATTCATTTCTTTAACCTTTTCCCACGACAGGTCTAGTAGTATTCCTAGAAGAGGACCACTATGTCGCCGAAGACTTCATACACATGTTGTACTTACTAAGAAACATGGCTGACAAGAGCTGCCCCCAATGTGAGATATTATCCTTAGGAACCTACCTCAAGACTTATCAATACCACCACAACAGTGATAAGGTAAGAAATTTTTATTGTATAATAATGTGTAGTGCCCAGGGCGCGGCGCCCGCCATCTCGTTACGAGGCATAGCATTGCAGCTGCATAGACAAACACACACACATACATACACGCACACACATCCACACATACGCATACATATACGCACACACTCACACACACACACACTTACATACACACCCACCCACACATAAAGTTGTCATGTGACAAATTTCTTGAAAACCCTTTTGTATGCGTATTTAGTGTTTGTTTTTTTCCAATCTTAATTTAATTTTATTATTTATGTTAGTAAAATATATGACTTTACAAAAAATAAATAAAATTAAATGTAATAAGTACTGATATATAGTAACGCCGTTAGTATCTAATGTAAACATAATGAGTTTCTGTTATTGACCTTAAGATTGTTTTTATATTTTATTGTATTAAATCCACAAAAAACCGCTTTAGAAACTTTGTTAAAGATAAATAAATAAATAAAAATAAATTTTAAACACTATAGCTTGACCGCTGTACCCTCCTATATCCGCGGGACGCGGGAGAGGGATGCGCTCGACCAATCAGTCAGTATTCGCATTTCAAAACCCGTTCAGACAGTGTTTTCTTAAAAGTTTTTCAGATAGTTCAATTATACACTTAAAATTATACCACTTTATTAATAACACTTTTCTACAATACATTAAGTCCTGTTTTAACTTGCAGAAAACACTTGAACTGTTAAATTGTAAAGCTACGATTGAGTTATTAAATAGGATTTTTGAACTAATTAGTAAAAGAACAAACCAAAATTTAATGTTTTAAAAAATAGATTGTTAATTATTATATAAAATTTATGTTACTATGAAAATGTTATATTCAGTTATAGAAGTTGTTACTTGTAACAGACAGAAAAATTCTTGGCTGTGCTGTTTTATTATAACACAACCACGGAGTGGAAAACTAAAGACTAAACCGATCCTGATGCATTCGGTTTTAACAAAGCACATATCATTATCCATTTCATTATACGTAATTTATACATAACACAATTAATCTATTTGAAGTAACATTAAGTAATTATGTACAGCACTTTATTAACATATTATCACATCATGCTTTGAGTGTGCTCATTATAAATGTTTTTTCAATCACTCGACACGTGTGCAGTTTTGTAGCAAAACACCTTTTCAAGTATAAACAAAAATAGTGTGGTCGGACCATACATCAGAAATGAAACTTCTTTTCTCAAATAACCTAACATTAGGCGGTACATAAGGCATAGGGGAATGGGGCAGCGCACGCATACCTCATATATATGTGTGTGTATATATGTAGTCGCGTGTGATGCTCGTAACGTTTCAGCCTTCGCAGAGTTACTGCCCATCTTTCATACTCGTCGGAAAGAGCTGCATACCCATACCCACACACACGCATACCCACCCACACCCACACCCATACACACCCATACCCCCCCCCCCCCACATACACACACACCCATACCCATACACCCACACACCCATACCCATACACCCACATCCACACACACACACACACCCTCATACCCACAGTTGTGTGACGCTCGGGACTTATTTACGTTTCGTCTTTTCCATAGGCTTTTTCCATTTAAACCCCGCCAGAAATGAAGTTTTACTTCAAAAAACAAGGGCAATAACTGAAGGTTGTCCTACATAGCGTATTTACCCTAGATCGTTTAAAAATATATAACAACTTGTTTGAGGTGAAAGCTTTCCAACAGTTTCGACTCTGGCTTGGTTGTCTAAACTTAAAACTAAATTAAACATCAATTTCTTCTTTTCATTCTTTATAGAGAATGACAAGGACACACTGCTGTCAAATAAAATTTTAGGTTTAGAGAATCATGTCCGATTCGATACTTATGTCGAACTAATTATATTTATTCATTTCAATCTAGGAAGGTGGGTCCTTACTTACCTTACCTGAAATTATATTATTAAATTAAATAAAAATAGCAGAAAGCCATTTATAGTTCCTCAATATTAACAGTACAAAAGATAAGTTATTTACAAAAAGGTATAGATTGTTAGGTAGTGCAATAAGAACCCAAAAGATTAATATGGACTAAATAAATGTTTATTGCATTTTTGAAATTTTGCTATTTTTTTAATGATAAAATAAATATAATTTCCTAATTTTTTATGATAAAATAAATATAATTTTAAAATTTTTTTAATGATGAAATATTTTTTTTTTTTAATGAAATTCTTAAAATATAACTTTCGCACAAATAAACTTTAATGTCCACGGAGCACAATCGTGGTCGCTTAGGTTGCGAGGTGTCTAACTTAAAAGATTCATAATAATTGATTCAGATAATTGCTTGAGCAATTAGACCTCTACACTGTATACAATGTTCTTGCATTATCGATTTCCAGTTCAAGCGATTCTAGCCCATAAGTTCTTTCACTGTACTTTATTGAAAATTGTCATTTCCTGAAAAGGTGTGTGTAGTGTTTTTTGTTTGTGTTATATTAATGTTTCATTGTTTACAGTTTGTTCGAATATATTGGTTGCGTTCCGAAACAAAGAAAATTAAAGTACATAGTATTGACATAGTTCGGCATTTGACTATGTTTATTTAAAGTGATACTGGTGCCGATTCCGGCATGATTCTCTAAAGCTAAACTTAACATTAATAACAGTGTATCCCTGTCATTCTCTATAGAGGATGAAGAGGACAGGCTGATGTTAAATTTAGTTTTAAGTTTAGAGAATCATGCCAGAATCGTCACCAATATATCACTTAAATAATCAATAAAAATAATTTGAAACAGTAAAAACAGGGAGATGTTATGCATAAGCTGATTCTTTGTCTCTTGCTGTCTCCATCTTAAAAAACCTTTCAATATACTTAAAATATAAACTGTTAAACACTATTCCGTGTTTTGCGCTCTCGCATTGCGCAGTCGGGTAAAAATCAAGTAATTTCAAAAATATCCGAAATTCAGAATTACGTATTTATAATATTCAAGAGTTTATTTCATTAAAAACATTTGTGAGTCAAATACCCTATTATATTAGTATTACTGTGTTTTTTCTCCATTTCAATTTTATTTTTATATCTATATTCGAACGAACCCCATCCGCTGTATGTTTTGTCTTTGTCGCACACCAGAGGAAGAAACAGCTCACACTCAACTACATACAGCAAGTGAAGGCAGCAAACGAGGAGCGAAGAAGGCGTATGCAAGAAACCCAGTCATGGAACTTCCAAGTCTACCCAAACCTTTATTCCAATACGCAGAAGGTTGACAATTGTGTAGCAGCATGCTTGTAATCTAGAGCTTTGCGACACAGTCTTAGATGCAACCTTATTGTCTATTAATGCTTGTGATAGTTATATTTTTTAGCAGTTAAATACTGCTAGATGTTGAAGTCTAAAGAAAATTGTACTAGAACATATAATATATTATGATCATCTAATATTTCTTGCCATAATTTAATTTAAAGACTTTTACACCGGGTACGCCATTATTCCCTAAACTTGTTACAGGCAACGCAGGAATTATGCAAAATTTGTTAACTTTAATTTTAATCCATTTTATTGATTTCTGCGTCGTTCCACTGCTTAACTATAAATTCTCATTTAATTATCTTGCATATTTTCAAAAGATTCATATTTACAAGAAGATAATTAATTACTTCTATGTAGGTTCTACAAAACCACCATATAATAATAAGATTAGCTGTCGTTTTTATACGAGAGAAAGTTGTATAATAAAAATAAGTACCTATATACAGGGCGTACCACGGGTTTGTAACACGGAGGGAAAGTATATTAAATATGTAGTAGAAGAAATAATCCTTATGATTAACCTTTTCGATGGTTATCATAAAATACGTCGGTTCTTTTTTCAAATTTCACGAGTTTGATTCCCACTTGTAGCAGGCGATTTAAAAAATCTTTGAATGTAGAATTGCATTCAAAGATTATTATTAAAAATATGATGCGGTATTTTTTCAGTAAAATATCCTATCTTCAATATTTAACATACTTTCCCTCCGTGTGAGAAACCCGCGGGACGTCCTGTATATATACTTTACTTCTTATTATTATACAACTTTCAGTTTTATATTGAAATGCGTGCTTAAAAGTTAATGGTTAGTCTGAAATTGATTTAGCAATTTTAATAGACAATTTGGTTGATAGCTATTTTTGCTGCAATTGCTCGATGGGAAAGCATGTATGGTTGATGGTGCAATAATTTACTTTTGTAAATATACTGTGTATAGCTTCTGGTGTATACCTACCTATTGTGTTACAACGAAAATCCGTGAAATTTTCTACGTTAATTAAGTTCCATTCTTTTTAATAGATTCAAAGGTGAAGTAATAAAAAGTAATTAATTCATTTAAAAAAAATACTTACTCTTTAAGGCTTTTTTTTAAATAAATTTCACCGTCTTTCGTAACTAAATATATAATATGCTTAGTTTTCAATTTTTCATTTATCTGCAATAGTCATAAAAATATGAAGTGTTCTTTGCGACGGGACACTAATTCATTGTAAATATTTTTAAACCTTTTTATCAAATTAGGAAAATATCAGATTTTGGATTAAAAGGCCCGGAATTGGCTTGTCTCAACTAGTATGTTATAGAAACTGAATTGATTAAAAAATGGTAGAATTTGATTCCCGTTATATATTCACAAAATAATAGATTGAATTTAATGGAACTATTTTTCGAAGAATTAGGGTGCTAGCATTTATATTGTAGACTAGCTGACCCAGCAAACTTCGTACCGCCAAAAAAATAGGGGCTGGTGGTAGAAATTTTGGGTTGTATGTATTTTTTAATGCCACATTATAAAAAAAAAACTTTTTTTTTAAATAAAAGAAAAAATAAAAATTGAACAATGAAATAACCGAACGCTCAATAAAAGTCTTTCGAAGGTAGTTGACAAAATTAAATAAAATTTGATTCTGACGACGTAGCCTGTAAAGGCTACGAAACGTCAATAAATAAATAAAGTTTTCGTGCATTAACCCGTAATAAACTGGTTTTATTTAATGAGTGATGTGCGTGAAAACCTAAGAAACAAATCTAATATTTTTTTTGTTCAAAAAATAAAAATAAAATATTAGAGGTGGACAACCCTTATCACTTAAGGGTGTGAAAAATACATAGAAGCCATTACTCAGAGCTACTGAATGTACATATAAAATTTCATAAAAACCGGTCAGGCCGTTTCGGAGGAGTATGGTGACTAACATTGTGACACGAGAATTTTATATATAAGAAGATTACGATTAGAGCTCTTGATGTACACCCACAGTTGTGATTGTGTCCGTTAATGCTACCGTATTTTGTTAGCAAGAACACATGTATCTGAAACTAACAAAGCGATATGTATCAGTTTTATAAAATGAACATATCACATTCGTAGTTTTTTTAGTTGATACACCAATAACTGCTAGAACTAATGTTGAATTTAGAGTTATAGTAGCATTTATCTGACTGTCAGTGTCCATATATTTGTTGCATAATAGCATTACATGATACGGGCTGCTGTTTCCAATATTTTTTTTATTTATTTTATATTCTTTCTTGCTGTTCTTGGGAAAAGGTGACACTAAAATTGCCAATTCCGTTCAATTATTTAGCGTGAATGTATAATACAATGAATGAAAAATTATACTAAACCGACTATATGTGTCGGATATATACGTCAGCAATGCTTGAGACAAAAAAACAATTGTCCTTTAAATCCTTCAGCAGTCGAATGTTAAAGTTGATTATTTAACATCAATTGAGCATGAAATTTTATTTTCTCCTTTATATTTTACTCATAAACGAATGGTGTAAGTCCTATCTATGACTGTTTTTTTCTTAAAAAAGGAAATTCAGCCTTATCTCTTCATGTATAGAGGTGTATTTCGTAAAACTTTCTCGTTGCATGCCTTGCTTTGATTAGGAAAGTTAACTTAACATTTTGATTACTCAATAACTATTGTAGGTAACTAAGCACGTAGTATCAAATGTACGTATCATATTAAGGGCTCCTTACCTAAAAAGAGATAACGGAATCCTGTTACTAAGGCTGCGTTGTTTGAAACATTGTTAAATTTGACTTTAGTTAATGTCACGTCAAATACTAATTAAATGTGTCTACTAGTATTTTATTTAACTATAGTCAAATTTGAAACTATATGTGAAACAATGCGACCTAAGCCATCTCTGTGCGTCTGTCTGTCCATCTGTCAGAGGGTATCTCATGATCCAAAGTAGGCAAACAGTTAACTTGCTTACAAAGTATTCCTATTGCTGCTATAACGGCATAGAAAAACTTTAAAGCAGATCATAAAAAAAAGGTTTTAGCTAGAACCTGGTGAAAGTCTTGCTATATGTAGATCGAGACGCTTATACTGTAGTGCTATCAAAATTTAAATTGTGACTTATTCTTAGGTGTCGTCATAGTTGACCACGATCATACGATGACACGATACGATCTCGTTGTGCGATGAAAATAATCGTACGATGATTGAACAGATGTGGCCTAATAGACGCCATGTAATCGGCGATAAGATGCCATTTAGAAATATTCTTAGCCGCGCCGGTTCCCAAGATAGCCCAATCGGCGACATGTCGTCCAAACCTGCAGATCCTGGAGTGTGTATGCGATCCTGCAACCTTTTTTATGCTTTATCCAATCTTGCCCCTCGCCCCGCGCGTACCGTGGTGTCCTACGGATTGCTGGGCTCGTGCAATGACGTGCGTATCTTTCCCGTTTACTCCAGCCAACCAAGGTTAGTCCAGAAGAAAATTAACCTTCGGAGACTGCTGCAGGCTTCCGGAAGTGATGCCGGCGACTGGAGAAGTCGTGCCCGTTGATCGGCCACACTCCTGCATTCCATGATGACATGCTGTGGCGTTTCTTCTGCCTCCATGCATCCTGTGCATAGAGGGCTGTCTGGACACTCCTGTTGTGTATAGGTGTTTGGTTAAGGGATAATGACCCGGCAAGGTTCCTATAATCTTGCGGAGGTTGTCCTTATTTAGTCTGGTAAGGGTGTAGGCAAGTCTTTGGAGTGCGTAGGCGATCCTGAAATTTTCTCTTTTCTTGAAACCTTGTTGCCCTTCGCCCCGCTCGTCCCGTGGTGCCCCACGGGTTGCTGTGCTCGTGCATTGACGCGCTTCCAATTAGGACATTCAAAATAGATCGGTGTATTTTATTACGATTAAGCCCATCTTACGATCGTTATTAAACAATCGTACGATGAAGCCCATCGTACGATCATTATTAAACAATGTCCTTGCTCGTGCGACGGCTTACGATCTGTAATTAGGATACTTCTGAAGAAATCTGTTTTGTTGTTTTAAAATCATCGCACGACGTGCACGCGTCATGTCATCGTACGATCGTTGCCAATCAGGACGACGCCTTACTATCTATCATATTAAATATAAGTTCCTATATAAATTGCTTTGTTATAATCTTGTTCGTTAGTTAGAGTGAATAAATTTCCTATTTTAAAAACGTTTAAGGCCTGCGCTCTGTAGCGATACGGTGTGACAACGAACAGAACATATTATTATACTAGTGGCCCGCCCTCGCTTCGCTTCGGTATTTTATCCTTTCTTAGCGGATGCCTACGTCATAACATCTACCTGCATGCCAAATTTCAGCCCGATCCGTCCAGTGGGTTGGGCTGTGCGTTGATAGATCACTATGTCAGTCAGTCAGTCACCTTTGAGTTTTATATATATATAGATTATAGCTATTAACGGGATTGTTACCATGTACCTTGTTTTTATGGGTCTCCGATATTTCGGCACTAAAAAAAATTGTAGACGTCACTAATTGGACCACTCTGTATTATAGATTTGAGCGCGTTACGTCTCAATCTAAGATAATTTTATTTTATACGGCCTGTTTTGTTCGTTGTGGCACTATTTTGTAGTGTATTAAGGTCGCGGCACCAATGACCGTCATGAACCAATGATGGATTATTTTTCTGTGTCGATGAAAATAAATGGTTAACTTCTCTTATTTTTATTGATCACTTAAAAATGACGATCATTGGTGCCAATACCTTAATCCTTTTTGTAATTATAGGACATATTTTATTTACTTAATGAAATTTCAACTTTATGTTCGAAGTATTAGGTTGTTATTCCATTAGTCGTATAAGAATGTCCTTCCAAAGCGTACCCGGCTAGCTGCGTAGCTGATAATAGAAAGAAGATTGGCATGCATTTTTTTAATAAATATAAGAGTTCCGTATTGAGTACGAAACACTAAAAAGGCCGAAATATCTCATTAAAACGGAACATAAAGTCAAGACCTTAAATAATAATAAATCTAATTTCGAATGAAGATAAAGACCAGAGGATCAATAAAATAGTTATCAAGTCATTTCCTTCTTGTGTAAAATTCTCCTATGGTGAAGGCAAAGGATACTAATTTCATACAGCTTTATAATTTTTTGAAACTAGTGTCATTAAAGGCTACAATTTCAGGTTGAAATCACTCCGTGGCACTCGAGCATGCACAACATGGGCTTCGCATTCAACAGAACAGTCTGGAACTATATAATGGAATTGGAGGACCAGTTCTGCGCGTACGACGATTATAACTGGGACTATTCTCTGTTACATTTGTCCCAAAACAGGCCGGGGAGGGAGAAGTTCAAAGTCATACTTTGTAAGGGACCGAGGGTCTTTCATATAGGAGAGTGGTAAGTTAGAATTTTGTATTTTATTTATTTTTATTTTCACCAAAAAGACAGGTAGTTATACAAAACAATTTATTTCGCCTAATCCAATACAATTAAATTCACACCCAGTCCAGTAAGTAAAGGGTACAATTCAAAAAGGTTTAGGTATTTTTTTTAAGCATTTAACTGCTAGATTATTTAAGTTTTAGGTAACTATGAGAAATTCTCTTTATTTGGATCTCACTACTCATAAACGATATGTAATTTTAGTTGTTATTTTTTTGATAAAGTATTTTAAAATATGAAACGAGGCATATAGTGCCAGTTAGCTACAGCGCACACCGGGAGTGGCGTGGCGTATATACTGAGAAGTTGCCAATTTAAGTTTAAACCTAATTCCTATATCATGTAAGTTTAAAAATTTCATGGCAAACAGCTTCGCATCGCTGTGCACCGCTTGTGTACCGTTGTACCCTCAGCACGAACCAATATCGAATTCGTAACGTTTGCGAGTCCGAAATGTTATTTTCAAATGTGCATTGATTTTATGTTCTCGTTGCGTACTTTGTGACGCTGCTGTTCAAGTTTCCATACAAAATTTGACATTGACATTTCGCACTCGCAAACTATTCAAATTCGGTAATGTATCCTGCTAGGGGTGCTGTACCCCTAGTCGAATAGTGGGTAAAAAAGGTGGCAATCCTAGCCGTGACCCACCACGAGGGCCCAGTGCGGATTGGCGGGTGCTAACGACTGTAGATGCAGCCGGGACCAACGGCTTAACGTGCCTTCCGAAGCATGGAGGAACTCGAGATAGAAGATTTTTGATCACCCATCCAACGACCGACCACTGCGAAAGTTGCTTAACTTCAACGATCGCAGCCGAACGCGCTAACCACCCGCGCCATCGAGTTCCACGCACGACTGTTTTGATACTTATGATATAGTAATTAGGGTTTGATTTAAATTGTTAACTTCTCGGTATCTTCGCCGCGTCTCACCTGGGGTCCTACCGCCTAAAAGGAATGTTATGGCTATAGCTATCGATTATGATTTCATATTATTATTTCTGACCGTCGAAGGTTACTAAATATCTTGCGCCTTTTATATAGGTAATAATAGTATTAAAGAACATTATTATTAAGTATTGGAATTCTTCGTCGGTAAGAAATCTTTTATAAAATAAAATGAATCGCTGAATGTGTTGCTAAGCGCAAATCTCGAGAACAGCTGAACCGATTTCTATAATTATTTTTTTAGAATATTCCTTGGCGTACAAGGATGGTTCTTACGCAGAGAAAAATAAAAAAAAATGCCTGAAAATGTCCAAAAACAACACTTTTCTATACTCCCATACAAACGATTCGTAATAATACTCAAAAGTCAATTTGAACTTTAATACCATATCATAAATTTCAAATGTTAGTGAAGTGGATCCGGGAAGGCAAAACAATTGAGTGATGTGATATCAACAGAAGTTTGGAAAAGGCAAATATACCATTTTCAGTTTTTTTTTTATAATTATATGAGGAGTAATTTTAGTCTACACTACAGCTCTACACCTAAGTGAAGCGAGGGCGGGCCACTAGTAACAAATTGAAATCATAAGCTACACCTGTAGTCTATTGTAAAACTGTTTTGTTACATAAATAGTTATGATCTATGCATTCAGAAGTGGGCATCGACCCCTGTCGCGCAAGGGGGCCACCAAGGGCGGATCCACCTTTTCGCCAGGGGGGGGGGTCATATAGCCAGCTTTGGCGCCAGGGGGGGGTCATATAGTCGTGGTATATTAAATATTGAAAGTACTTAAATAAAATCCCCGTGGTTTTGGTCCATCTGTACCCAGCCCAGGGGGGGTCATGACCCCCATGACTCCCCCCCCCCCCCTGGATCCGCCCTTGGGGGCCATTCGCCTAACGGAAATGCTTTGGAAAACGCTAATGCTTTCGATTCTATTTTGTTATTTCTGTCCGCCGAAGGTTTTCAAATACCTCACGCTTTTCTTTTTAATATTATTATTACCAATGCAACAGAAAAAAAGAGCGCGAGGCATTTGAAAACCTCAGGCCGCTAGAAATAACTAAATGAAATCGTAAGCGTTAGCGTTTTCCTAAGCATTTACGTTAGGCGAAAGGCGCCCAGGTCTTTATCCTATTATAGGGGTCAGGGACTACATTATATTCAAGTATGTAAACAATTTATGTGACAATAAATAAGTAAATATTATTATGAGACAATAAATAAATATGATTATTATTATAGCCATAGCAATACCGCTAGGCGGTAGGCCTTTTAGTGTGCGCTGCGCCTAAGCTCCTTTTAAACATTAATCATGAAAACCATTAAAGGCAACTTTTCCTGCATCGTCCGATTTGCTTTTAACTTTGCATATTTATTGTTTTTATTTAACTAGCTGTGCCCCGCGGTTTTACCCGCGGTTTATGTGTTAATCCAGGGTGTCAGCTAACTCCATACCAAATTTGATTAAAATCGCTTCAGCCGTTTAGACGTAAAGAAGTAACAAACATACACACTCACAAACTTTCGCCTTTATAGTATTAGTGTGATTAGATTATCAAAAGTTGAATTTAGGGCTTAGCTAAAACAATATAATTTACATCTGACGACCTCCGTGGTCGAGTGGTTTGTACGCCGGGTTTCATAGTGTCGCCGTCTCGAGAGGTCCCGGGTTCGAATCCCGGTGGGGGCAGATGTTTTGTGTAATGAAAACGAGCATTTGTACTCCAGTCATGGATGTTTATTATGTATTTCTATATAAATATACTTATGTACTGTATATGTATTCTATCCGTTACCCTAGTATCCCATAACACAAGCCTTACAGTGCTTACTTTGGGGCTAGGCTAATTGGTGTCACTGTTAGAAATATCTATTTATTTATTTATTTTATTTATCTACTTTCAGCGGCATTCATCACAAGAAATCAAATTGCAATGCATCAACAGTGATAAGCAAAGTCCAGCAATTGCTGAAAAATGCAAAACCCTACATGTATCCATCAAAAGTCACAGCAATAGTGACTACGGGGGGAGCTAAACACAACAAGAAACTCACCAAAGGAAACGGCGGATGGGGAGACATTAGGTAACTATATTAACCCATTACAGCTTTTTTTTATTACGCAGGCAAAACCTCTATTTACAGACGTTGGCGCCCTTAAGAGCCCTTTTACAAAATTGCGCCGCTGCCGTACTGATCGGCGCGTAGGTAGATTTGCACTAGTTTATATTGCATTTTACAGGTGATGTTTCGAGTCTTATAAAATAATGATCAATGACCTAATTATAAAAATACATACATATTTCAGTAGTTCAATGATGGTAGATTAGTTTTATGAAAGTTTTTGATAGTAATTCTATTTAATTCAATATCAAAATACGAGGTAAACCTGCATTATTTTTTTAGGAAAACTCACGGAGGTTAGATGTTTTTTTTTTGATAATTAATGAGATGGAAAATCAAAATTCTAATACTACATTATGTTACAACAAAAACATATTTCTGATGTCGTAGTAATTAATTTGATCTAATTTATTGAACATTATTGAGGTTGAGGCGTTTGAAGTTGTGCATATTATCGTAATCTGTAAACTAGCTGCAGCAGAATACAATAGGAAGAATAAATCTACTCTTTACTTCTATTGGAAATTGTGAAAATCTTTTCTAAGGGGGTAAACGAGGCGCTCAAAAATTACGATTTTTTGCAAAAAATGTGAAAGGGCTCTTAAGGGTCACACCAACGAACGGACCTCACACCTAGCCTATCGCAAGTCTCACGGGTGTGAAACGGAAGAGACGAGTCCGCGCTGCTTACGAGCGCTTGTGGCATACTTTCCGCCAAAAAAAATCCTGCGAATACCTGTTCAATTCAAATCTAATTCTATATTTGTCATTAAACAGGGAGGGTACATTGAAATTGAAATGCACTCTGGGAGTGCCGGCAGAAGTGAAAACTTGAATATTAACGTTGTGCATTTTTGATATTTTGGAATGGTTAGGGAATAATTTTGCACGAATTGCTTTAATTATCACTATAAAAGTACTATCATTTATGTGGTAGAATACAATATTTATTTATTGCGCTATCGTACACAAACATGACAATTTATATTACATTAAAAAGTTAAAGTTACAGTAAAATAACGAGAGATCGTTTTCTAAAACTTTTCAAATAGCCATATTCCGCCTTATCGGCATGCAATATAATATTTGTATAAATCATTAATTGTTTCATTGGCCAATTAATATATTTTACATAGTTTTTTCAAAATGTCAATGTACTAAAAATTTAATATTGTATTTATTTCATGCATGTCATTTTTTGTATAAACTAAAAACTTCTGTCTTCCAAAAATTCACGGACCGTATAGTAACATTTGTCTGCAGACCCCTCTTTCCCAGTGGGCAGTTTGTGCAAATGCCCAGGGCCCCGCGATTGATAGGGGCCCGCCTCAGACCAAATATAAAGTCCCTAGTTCCTGTTAAATCACCAAACGGGGGTCATAGGGGCCCCATTATCCTAATATGCCCCCAATAGGTCAAAGACGGCACTGTTCGTCTGCTAAATCTTATACATATGTCTAATTTTTTCGCTCTCTTTTCGTTTCAGAGATCAAGATCTGTGTAGTAACATGACTAAAATAGGTCGGCAGACTAGGAAGTACGTATATTATGCCTAATTAGGAATATAATAGGAACGACAGAAAAATAGAATTTTAATTCTGTTTCAAACGTAGGCCACACCATGTGTTATGTGCAGCTAACCGAAGCAATTGTTTGCAGAGTGAATTAAATTATGAAAATTCAGATGTTAACTTAATCGAATGCAAGGTAGGTTTTTGTTCATTGTGTGACTGACGCTAAAGACTTTTAAATATGAGGCCATGAGAACCATAGTGGCCTATCTTACTTAGGTCAGTATGGCACCTCAAATTTAGATCAAAGACTAAAAATCCGTAACAGTGATTATGCTGCCATCTAGTGAATATTCGTTGTATCACTTTAAGACCACCGTGGCTCTATCAAAATGATCAATTTGAACTGGAAAAAATCATAAACTCAATATTGTAAAAAATGAGTTAGGCCACTATGGTTCTCATGGCCTCATATGTATGCCAGGTCGTTTTAATTCATTAGATATGACATTCACAGTAAATGTGATAAAAAACAAGAGTGAAACAAATAAATATTTTAATTATAATGCAACTGACTCGGCACTATTGCCCATCTGTAGACTAAAATATTTTTCAGTGTTTGTCATAACTATGTATTAGATGACCATACGATCGTTATGTCAACAATCAACAACAAGATTTTTTTGAATTAATAATGTAATAAAATATCTATAAACGAGTTTAATAAATGGTGGTCACCCTTGGAGAAATGAACGCGTCGCCATGGCAACGCGCGAGGTTGAAGAGTAGGGTGCATATGCCTTACTGTTTTTATAATACTTCGTGTTACAACAATATAGAGTCTGTGCGGAAAGAGAATGGGATTTAGATTGGAGGGCGCTGTGCTTTTCTACCGTATTTGTAAGGTTTTACCTCTTTTAGACATGATTAAATACAAAAAAACCGCCAGAAATCACAACAACAAACAAATCCGTATCAATATAAAACATTGAAGTTTTACAGATTGCTGGGTTTGGTTACCAAATAAAAATCTTAATGTTAGTTCCGTTTTTCGCCACGGCCATTCTCTTTCCGCACTGACTCTAACGTGTTTTTATTATGCAACAAAAATAACTCGGTATTATTATATAATGGTTACAAGAAGTTTGTGATTAAATGAGGAAAAGTACAGATAATTAGGTGATAATCATACAACTTGTCACTTTAAATAAATACTTTAATACTGGTAGTAATTCATCGACGAAATAAGTTGGCCATTTTAATGATTATAAAATGATTATAATAGCGTATTATTATGGTAAAATGTGATTTGAATTATTTATAAAATTTATAGATTGAAAACTGTATATTCAATGTTAAGCAACTAGACTTATCCATAAAACACATACTGATTGGTGGCTGGTGACGTTACTTCTAAGTAAGATTTCGCATGACGTCACTTCTTAGTACAAGAAGTGACGTCATGCGACTTTCAAATCAATATACCTCTGTAATGTTTTGATTATATGAATAAAGAGAAAATACTTTTTGATAATCCACCTGATAGACGCAGATTTTTTTTGTCATCATACTACTATTGCAGTTGGGAATCTTCTATTGTCTTAAATGTATCTTTAAACTATTTTTGACCACCTACATGGCCGAGTAGTTTGTACGCCGGGTTTTAAGGTGTCGCCTACTCGAGATGTCCCGGGTTCGAATCCCGGTGGGGGCAGATGTTTGTGTGATGAATACGTGCATTTGTACTCCAGCCACGGATGTTTAATATTTATTTCTATATATATGTATCACTATATGTATTCTATCCGTTATCCTAGTATCCTATAACACAAGCCTGTAGTGCTTACTTTGGGGCTAGGCTAATTGGTGTGGGGCTGTCCATTATCGTGACGCTCGAAAGAGGAAAAGGGGTCCATAAAAAATCACGCAATATCACAAGGGGGGGCGGAGGGTGGGTGTAGTTATATCACGTGTATTTCCGTGGCCCGTGGAACCTTGATACTTTATACCTATATTTTATAAATATTAAAAAAATAAAAAACTATTTATACAGAGTGTTACAAAAATACAAATAAAGCATAAAGGTCGTTGAAGTACATTATTGAAGGAGTCTTCTCTAATTTTCTTAAAATATTTGCATGTAATTTTTACTTTTCATAAAAACAGTTATTTTTAATGATTAATAAAAATATCGACCATATTAAGACACGTCACTAGTTCGAGGATCATATATATATATTACCTAGACATAACTTTTTCGAAGTCTCTAGCTGAATTTTTTACTGTTACTATTTATTAGTCAATTAATGAACAACTTAAGGATCAGTATTGAATACTAAACTCTTATAAATTCAATAAACAGTTTTCAATCTACAAATAAATAAGATACTTCTGAGGAGTTATTAACTGGCCATAAAAATATGTACATATATACAATATTTACTAGTATATATAAATATATGTTTGTGTAAAATACAAGAAAAAATGAACCTTTTAACAATAATACTAAGAACTTGTTTAAGTGTTTGTTTGAAAGTATTGTTTAGTATTATTTTTAATTATTGTACAAAAAAATGCCTTGAACAGGCATTTCATCACAAGAACTATTTTTTAAAAGGAAAAGGGTGTAGAGAGGTGAATTTCTAAAAAGCAGTATTTTTTTTGCTGTTTAAAATTCTTTTGGTCTGAATTCTGCGGAATAAAGTTTAGTTTAATAAACAAAAACATAGTTATCGTTAAATCTATTGCTTATTCATATTTATAGAACGTAAACTGTGCATGTTTTGTTTTCGTGTTTCCAAAGAGAATTACATTTATTTTAAGTTACTTTAAAAATGTTTGTTGCGATCAATTTTTTTTTATTTTAAACCTTAATTTTTAATCAAATAGTCTTAGACAGTCAAGATAATAGTAGGTGATTGTTATATTTTATTTCTAAAAAGAATTTCTATTATTTCTTTTTGTTTGCATTGAATTTGATTCATGTTTCTTTTTATTATCAAACTTTTTGCTTTAATACGAAAGATATAGCTAAGTTGTCGAATGATTTAGTAAAATATTAATTTTCGAACGCATACCTTAGAATTTAAGGTAATTATTTGTTTTTTTAAGTCGTCTTTATTTATTTTTTTCACAATTCTTTGTATATTCCAGTTGCTTGTCAGTATTAGTTTTGAGTCGAAATTTTTATTAAGAAATTCACGTATTCAATTGTACTTAAAAATCGCTTAGTAAAGCACTGAAAATATTTTATTAGCTAGTAAAACTTTTCAAATGTACGTATTATTGTTGTATTTAAACTTTTGTTGAAATGCGCGAATGGCCTATTTTACACACAATGTCGATGCTAGAACAAATTCACGCTTATTACAAGGTAATAAAGATGATATTAGTGACCATTTATAAGGATTCTGCAAACCTAGCGGCCTAGACTACTAAATTTATATTAATTTCTGCTTTGATCGCGAAAAAAATAAGCCCTCAAATTTTTTTGTTAAACCCGTATCACATAAGCCTTGGATATTTTTTATTTTCCTCAAGCTTTCATATTGAGAAACCACGACAGTTAAATAAACTGTATTTTTATTATTGAATATTTTAAGTGATAATGTCGTTCCGCCACAAAATATTTTATAAAAAAAAATACCTCTCCTATAGTATTATATAAGGTATCGTATATAATATAATTCCATTATATGTGTATAAAAATATTGTACAGTTAGCAGCACAATGAGTACAGCAACAGTATTTATTTTATTTTGCCTTTAAAATATAGGTTGTTTTACTTAAAATATGTCATTTGAGTTTTATCTGTAGCATTTAATTTTTTAACAGACAATCTAATTACGCATGTCAACACTTATTTAAAGAATTAAAAAATATATATAATGAACGCTAATTTAGCTTTTACGCTAATGTATTTTCATTGATTACCATCAAATTGCGTTGCTTATATCATTAAGGTCCCGATGATATTTTACCTTATTCAATTGATTTAGAGTTCAAAATCTCTTTGTGCTCTTTAACTGTACAAAATAAAACAATCCGTTTTTAAATTTAATATTAACTTAAATTCAACGATACATCGCACAATTGTATTAAAAATACCTATTATATAATTAAGGGCAGCAAAGAACACAATAAACTATTTATATATTATGTTTTAGTCAAAATGTTGTACAATACGTTGATAATTTTTGTATATAAACATAAATTAATATATACATTGTAATTGTAATATATTGAGCTCGATTTTGTTGTGCATTTTTTTTTGTTTCAATAAACCATTAATCCCTCTCTCTCTTTCTCTTACTTTACCTGAAAAGCAGAATAAGGATAGCTGGCAAGTACAAAAATTTGTAAATGTTGTTACAAGTAAATTATGTAATTGGAAATCTTTTGAAAAGACGCTTTAAATACGTTTCTATTCAATTGAAAATCGATTGTGGGCTGTGAAATTATAGCTATAATAATTGTCAGCTAGATAAATAAAAAAGTGACAAGATTTCTCAATTAATAAATTAATTTCAATTGAAGTAAGATAAAAATATCTAAGTTCCGAGCTATATTCCTATCAACTATTATCTATCTTGGGAGCCTTACTCAACGAATAGGTTCGTGCTCGTTTCATATTCGTGTCTGTACCGAATCTGTACATATTATTTGCAGAGTGCATGCCATCAAATGAGAGCTTCCTCACTGCTCTACTTAACACATTTGCTCAAAAAATGCAGTTTCAAAAGTTATATACATTGTTCGAAAGTTCAAAATTACACGCCATAAAACGGAGCGTTCGGTAAAACAAAATTTTTAAAACAGTTTACCGCACGCTTCGTTGTATGGCGCCGTGCGTTTCCTGTACGTTTTTTTATGTCGATCGAACCTCCTTGGAAGCGCTTTTAATCTATACCTTTGTCTCATTTTAATACTAAAAAGAAAAAGAGACGAAAGATGTAGTTCTAATTTTTACCACCCGCACTAGACGCCACTTAGAAATGCATGCTTCATTACTTAAAAATTCTACTGTTTTCAAATGTGTTGAAAAACTTTGAATGACATTCGTGCGGAATTGGTGTTTACAAACTCGTGACTAAGTTAGTTATGACGTCTCGCTACTAATGTCATAAATAAGTATTGTATTATATGAACACAAGGCTGACGAACCATCCAACTCGCCCGCCCGACGCGACGTGACGGCACTAGAACAAAAAATATTGTGCGCACTAAATGCTCTAAGGTGCGCACGGACCACACTTCTGAAGTGAATCTTCTTATCTTAAATAACCTAACATTAGGCGGTGCATAATACATAGGGGAGTGGAGCAGCGGACGCATTACTCATTTATACTTAAAAATTGTTAAACCATAGCA